GGAGCTGGACGCATCGCTGTGAGGTGCTCACTAAAGGGGGCTTCCTTCATGCCGCAGCCTCGATCCTGTGCTTCAGAGGCAGGCTCATGACCAAAGCTTGGCAGGCAGGTGCACAGGAAACAGCTGTGGCAACAGGTCGGTCAGGCTGCATCTCTGATCCAGATATATCCAACCCTGGAGTCCTGTCCCCAAACGCTCCCTTTCATCCGGTTTCACCGTGGCCCGGGAGAGAGGAAAGAGCCCTGCTATGACTCAATGTGTCTCCCCAGGCCAGGCCCTTGCCTGCTCGTGGCTCCCACTGCCCCATCCGTGCAGAGTTCTCTAAGAGCAGCCAGTGCTCTTACATGGTGACGAGCTGAGCAACCTGCCTTGGAAATGAATTGACAACCTGATACATCCCCAATCTCAGAAGATGACAAAGCCAGGCCACTGACCCCACTCAGAGGGGATCCTAAGAACCCCTACACCCTGCACAGTATATTTCCGTTTACAAAAGATGTTCCTCTCCATGAGATGAGTGAAGGAAGGGCAGGGAAGCCTTCCTCCCCAACCTGGGATGCTTCATCCCATCATGCTGTGCCATTGTCTTTATTAAACGTATCCCTCTCTGAAAGCCTGATATTTACCCACTGTCGAATTTGTCTCTCCACTAGAATGTAAGCCCTCCGTGGACAGGGATCATGTCCTATTCATTGCTACATCCCCAGCACCTAGAAGAATGCCAGACCCTTAGAAGGTGCTAACTTTTATTAAATGCCTGGGTAAAGGGATAGATAGATGGGCGGATGCATGGGTCATTGTAATCCAGTTCAAAACGACCATATATTAAGTCCTGGGCACTGGGCTAAGCACTTCTCATGGATTATGACAGCTTTGTGAGGAACGCTGTTACTGTTCCCATTGTACAGACCAAGAACCCGAGGCCCAGAGAGAGGAAGTGACTGCCCCCAGGTGCAGAGCCCAGGTTATTTATATTTTTTTAAAATTTTTGGCTGTGTTGGGTCTTTGTTGCTGCACGCGGGCTTTCTCTAGTTGTGGCGAGCGGGGGCTACTCTTCGTTGCAGTGTGTGGGCTTCTCATTGCGGTGGCTTCTCTTGTTGCAGAGCACGGGCTCTGGGCATGCGGGCTTCAGTAGTTGCAGCACGTGGGCTCAGTAGTTGCAACGCGCGGGCTCCAGGAGAGCCCAGGTTTTACACCCAAGTCTGTCTATCAGCAAAGGCCATGTTCGTACCCAAGCCACCATCTGACACGTCTATTTTCCCAGCACCCGATGATGTTGGAGCCATTGGAAGTTAAGAGCTGGGACTCAGACATATTGTCTGATTCCAGTTATGGAAATATTCAGAATAGGTAAATCTATAGAAACAGAAAGCAAAAAATCATAGCTTAGGGATGAAGGGAGGAGACGTTTGGGGGGAACAGGGAGTGAAAACTAATGGGTATGGGGTTTCTTTTGCGGGTGATGTAAATGTTCGAAAGTTGATTGTGGCGATGGTTGTGCAACTCTGGATACACTAAAAACCATTAGATTGTACATTTTAAATGGGCGAATTGTATGGTATGTGGATTACATCTCAGTAAAGCTGGTATTAAGAAAATGGTCGGGGCTCAAGAATCTCACCTCTGCCGCTTACCTGCGAGGCACATCACGTCGCATCTCTGAGCCTCAGGTTCCTAAACCCGTAAAATGGGGAAAATAAACGTCTCATGGGGTTAATGTAAGCACTAACTAAGATAATACATGTTACTATCCTCATTTTATCGAAGGGGAGCCTTAGGCCCAGAAAAGGGAAGTGACTTGGCCTAGGATGCACAGCTGGTGGGTGACAGGTGAGGGGCTCTGGCCTGGGTCTCTGAGCACTGCTGCTTCTTCTAGCATGATGTAGACTGGGTCAACATTTGTGCACCCACCCAGCCCACCACCACCACTCCCTTCCATCTTCCCCATCTTCCCCCTTCTCTTGGGCACTGAGGCCCTGTCTCCCCACTGCCCATGCCCATGAGCAGACTGAGGTAGCGAGATTCCCCCAGAGCACAAGACGCCCTCTCCCCCAGCCCCTACCCTGCTCCCCTCCTGGAGCCATGATGCTGTCTTGCCTTTGCTTGTAATAAAGAAAATATCTCAGCTACCCTTCCACAGTTGCTTGGCAACCCCAAAGGGGGGTGGGGGGAGCAAAGGGGAGGAGGAAAGGGGGAGAACTCTGGAGCCAATCTGGAGACAAAGAGTAGGATTTGGGTGACATGGAGCCTGTTCTTAGTGCTAACCTGGCCTGGCCGGGGCGACGGGTGGGGGCAGGGGGCTTCCTCTCACCCCACTGTCTCACACCAATAAATATGGATTAGGGAAATGGGCAGAGTTTTTCCCATGGGCCTGAAAGACCACATCTGACCTTTCTACCCCCTTTATGTACCAACATGACAGTCAGAGAGAGCAAAGAGCAGGACCCCCTGAGATGCCTCCCCCGTGGCCTTCTGACTTGGGGAAACTTTTCACCCTCCTCCTTCCCCAGGCCCCAGACCAGGTCACAGCCCCGCCTGGGCCCAGGTCCCAGAGACAGGAGGAGGCTGCTCTTCAGGGGCCAGTCAGGAGCTCCCAGCCTCGACGGCACAGAGCCCAGGCGGGCGGCCCTGGGGCAGCCTGTAAAGGTGCTCCCTGCCTCCCGTGCCAGCCCCCTGCCCCGTGGCTCGGGCTCTGTGCCCCCCGTCCCGCCCACCTCTGCCTGGGCTCCCTGCATTAGCAGCCCTGCTCTCCCCACTGGCCCTCCTACAGCCCTGTCCCTCTTCCTCGTCTTTCCTGACCTCACTTCACACCCCTCTTCCCCCACCACCCTCGTTTCCATTTGGTTTCCCTCTTTTCCTCTTCTCCAGGGTTGGCCCCCCTGCCGTAGTCCCCCCCAGACCAGGAAGCTCTTGAGGCTGAGGTTCCTGAAGGGAAGATGGCAGAAGGGGTTGCAAAGGCGGGAGGGTGGGGTGGTGATCTCTCTCCCTGGTGCCCCGGCTCCCTGGCCACTGGCCCGGGGTGGAAAAAGGCCTCTCTGAATGGAGTCAGTGTGGAGACAGGAAAAGCAAACACCTCAGCCTGGGCTGTACTGGCCTGCTGGGGCGGGGGACAGGATGGGGCAGGGGACTGGGCTCGTCTCAACCTCGCCCCGTCAACCCTCCCTTGGTTCCCGAGGGCCTATGGCTTCCTGGACCCTCAGCCCACAGTGTCCAGAAAAGGAGTGGGTTTAGGGACTGGGGACAAGCCCTCCAGGAGACACCTTCGCCCCAATCTTTCCCTGCCCCCCTGCCTAACCCCCAGCCAGTGCCCTTCCTGCCCAGCAGATGCCAGGAAAATCTGTGCCCGGGAAGGGCGGGCTAGCACCTGAGGGCCTGCCTGACCAGCCCTTCTCAGCAGCGGGAACTGGGTAGGCAAGTCACCTTATGCCAGAGATGGCCCCAGCAGTGCCATCCACCTCCCGGGCCGAGGGGACCCCAAGATGCTCTGCCCAGGTGAGTGCTCCTCTGGAACCACAGCCGGGCAGTGAGGGAGCGGGAGGCTTTGTCGGGGCTCCCTATGCGTCCCCAGAAATCTGTGACATTTTCTGTCGGACTGTCTCACCCTCTGTCTGCGGTGCGTGTGGCACTTGTAGTTTGGTGAGAGGAACCAAAAGGATGATTAGAAGAGCTGGAGGTGATATGGGGATGAAGGGAGACAGAAGGGGCTGGAGTCTGGGAGCGGGACTTCTAGATTCCAAGCCAACCTTTTGCTTAAGACCTATGGAATCACAGAGACTCCTGTGATGGTCTCCTTTGAACACTTTGGATCCTAAAAGACTTTTGGAATGAGCTCAGAGAGGGGTAGCAACTCATCCTGGGTGACACAGCGAGTTGGTGGAACTGGAACTCAAACCCACCAGGCCCCCTTATGACGCCAAGGGCAGTACTGTTTGTGCTCTGGGCGCTGTGCTCGGCCACCTTGCCTTCGCCCTCCACGTACAGTTTGGTCCCTCTGACTTTCAGGGGCAGTTGGGGGAGGGCAGACTCTGGATAGCACCTCCCAGGGCATCCTTCCCTTTCTATCCTCTCTCCAGACATCATGCCCAGGACCAAGCAACCCCTGCCCAGGCATCAGAGAAGCCACAATCTCTTCTGATGAGAAGGTATGGTTTGGCCTTGACCTTACAGATCCCAGAGAATGTGGCCCCCTTAGGTCTCAGGGTCTAACTGTAGTCCCTTATGCTGTAATCAAAGCCCAACCACTCCTTGGAAAGCAAGGCCAACAGCTGACTGCCTGCTACAGGGTCCCCAAAGTGCCCACCTTGAGGTGCCCTGGCCATGGCACCTTCCTGAATAGAAACAGGCAGCCCTCACTGAGTCAGATGCTGTTCTAAGGCCTTGCATATACTTCGCTGAATGGTCTCCACACTCCTAAAAGGTGGGTTCAGTTTTACAGATTGGAAAACTGAGGCACAGAAAGTAGAAGTAACTGTCCGTGGACCCACTGCCAGGAAAAGTCAGAGCTGGGATTCGAACTCACAGCCTGGCTCCAGTGCCCTGAGCCCTTAAATGTTCTCCTATCCTGCCTCTAATTCCTAGGAGGTCTCCACTAGAGGTCATTGTGTCCAGTCCCCGCATCTGGGTGTCTGCCCAGGCCAACCTCTGCTCACAGACAAGAATCATTCTAGTTTTTAAAGGCACCTGCTCCAAGGGTGGAGTTCCCCCTGGGGGTAATCAGACATTTATTTATTCATAGCCTTCTGGCTGGGAGGACAGGCTTTCCCACCCAGGACTCAGCAGGGTCCAGCTGCCTCGTTGTCCCTTTCTCCTTCCCACTGCAGTATAATCTATAATCAGAAGAGAACCAGCCTTGCCTCATGTCTCGGCTCCATAACCTCCAAGCTGTGTGTCCCTGGACAAGTGACTCAACTTCTCTGAGCCTCAGTTATCAACTGTAAACTAGGGTTAATGGTACACCCGCTTTGTGCGGTTGGTGAGGATTAAATGATAAAAGCGGATGAAAAACTCTACTTTCAGGAATCATGTCTGTAGTTTGTTACTAGAAAAGTTTCTCTGAACGTGTAGAGCACCGGAAACCGCGAGGAGGAGGCACAGCATTCTCTCCTGAGTGTGAAACCTGCTCTTGGTGTTGCTTCTGCAGCTGCCATTTGCCATTGATAATCGCTCTTCTCTTGGGAGAGTAAGAGGCAGAGGATGCTATGCTGCCTGAGTGTTCGCCATCATTAAAAAAAAGAAAAAGAGAAAAAGAAAAAGTGGGGGGGGGGGGGGGGGGGGAGGTGGCTTAAGGCAGAAAGGGGTCAGTGATCACAGTGCGTGGCACCTGTGAAGTGCCCAGAATGAAGTGGTAGATCCTCTCATCATCATCATCATCATCGTCACTGAGACCCTTTTGTCCGCAGGATCGGAGCCTCTTGCTTTCAGCCTTATCGTTTAGCCTCCTCGTTACAGAGAGAGAAACTGAGGCCCAGAGTGGGGAAGGGCTTTCTCAGCAGGAAAGCTCTCAGGTCCCCTCATTCCCTGTTGGATCCCCTGTCTCTTCTCCTTCACTCCTTCCCACCTCGAGTCCTGCCCTGGCTTTCCGTGCCCAGGGTCGGGCCCTGGCTCCCAGTCCTGACCAGGCAGTGCCCAGGAGAGAAGCGAGCAGCGGTTGGAAGAGTAGACGCAGAGGCCCGGCGCGTTCTCAGCCCTGGCTCTTTGTCTGTCGCTTTGTGATGGTAAGTGCTGCTCCTAAATCAGTTCTGTGACACTGTTATTGTTGCCCAGGGCGCAAAGAGTCTAAACTTTTCCCCTGAGGTCAAGAATGTGGCCGGTCCCCAAGCCGCCCGGAGCAGGGGCCTGGGTGGCTGGGGGTGGGGCTGGGGCCTCACCCCGAGCTGGGGCGAGATGTTGGGGGGAGGGGGTCAGCGGGAACAAAACGCTTTGAAATGCCTCCTCTCCATCACTGCCAACATTGTCCGCTGCCCACGGGGGGCCTGGCACCGCCTTGCCGGGGCTCCGGCCCCCAGCCCTGGCCAGGCCCGGCCCGGCATCTGAAAATGGACAGAAGGTTATTGTCCCTCCTCGCAGCCCTTTGTCTGCCCCAGTTCCAGATGTCTAGGCTGGGACCAGGGAGCTGACCCATGGTGGGCAGGGGGGAGGGGACAAAGGGGGAGAGCACGGGTCACTGCATCCTGAGGGGTCATTCCCAGACCCTGAGATCCCACCCAGCCACAGCCCAGTCACCTTCTGGGCCGTCTCAGCCCTGGGATTGTCCCTGTTCCCTTGTCTCTCCTCCCCTTCCCGGCAGACCAGGTTCCGGGCTCAGGAAGAGTTAAGGGCGCTTTGGGATTCCCACTGCTCTACCCCGCTAACTGTGTGATCTGGATAAGCTGTGCCCCTTCTCGCAGCCTTTGCTCTCGCGTGGGTATCACTGGACCAGGGTGCATTCATTCACAAGAAATGACAGAGCCCTCCTATGTGCCCGCTCCGTGCTGGGCATGGGGGCGCACAATGGTGGGTGGGCCACTCAGATCCTTCCGGATTGTCGTTTATAGTCGTGATAGTAAAGGGGCAACATTTCCCACCGACTCTTTCTGTGTCAGGTACCTGCTAACCGCTTTACCTGCATTATCTCATCCTTTTCACAACAAAATCAAGGACGCAGTAGATATTGTTCTTCTATCCATTTTCTAACTTTCGATACTGAGATTCCGAGAGGTAAAGTCCCTTGCCCAAAACTAGGCGGCCAGGAAGCAGCAGAGCTGGGATCTTAGCCCAGGCTGACCGCAGCCACCGAGAGGAATGATCCACTAATAAATACTTGGAAGGTGCTGAGCGCAGAGCCTGGCACTGCTCCAGACTCAGCCCACGGAGTGGGTGGTGGTGGTAATGCCACCCGTGAGCTTCCCATTTCACAGATGGTGCTACTGAGGCCCAGATCAGAGAGAGAGAAGCTCGGGGAAACTTAAATAGCAACACCAACCGGGATTCCAGGACCACCAGGGTCGGCCAGAGAGAGGCAGGCAGCCCGGTTTTGGTTTCAAACCCCAGTTCTGTGTGGGCTTGGGCAAGTGATTTAGCTTCACCATGCCTCCATTTTCTCATCTATAAGATGAAGATATTCCCTACTTCACAGGGTTGTTGTGAAAACTAAGTTAGGTAATACATTTCAAGCACTTAGCACAATGCCTGGCACACAGCAGACAGTTAATGATAGCTATTACTGTTATTATTCTGAATGGGGTAACATCTATCCTTTTGAACCTTCCTCTCACCTGGGGTCACCTGAGGACAAGGCTCTGTTGAGAGGAGGGAGGGGCTGTGGGTTAGCAGTTGCTGAGTGGGGGTGGGGATAGCAATGCTTGGTCTGCTTGGGGGTTTCTAGAAGTGTTGCGACACGATACTCCTGCAGGTCAGAGGAAGGCAGAAGGGGTCAGGCTGGGAGGGGAAGGGGCTGCCTGGCCCCAGAGGAGTTAACAGCTCCCGCGCCCTGGCCCAGCGGGACTGCCACGATTTTAGCAGAGGAGCCAGGGCTGCTTCCTGATGGGCAAAACAGCTGGCTACACGAGGAAAACAGCTGGCCTGGACCCAGCCTCCTGAGGACAGAGGCAGATTCTCAGAGGAGGACAGCTCCACATCTGGGCTCCTGGGAGAGGAGGGCATGGCCAAGAGCGAGAGGGTGGTCCTTTGGGGGTGGGGTGGGCATTGGGTGGGACCCTGGAAGATGAGGGGGCATGGGCAGATTCCTCGACCAGAGACCAAGATATGCTATGTCTAAGCGGAGTGGTGACTCCATCTGGAATTTGGGGGTCTCAGTCTCCCCTCAAATAGGAAAGATGAGGGGCAGGGGAGCAGATGGGGGACAAGACTTTGGCGTTCAGCCCTGGGTCCGCTTGGAACCGGGCTTGGAACTTCATGTAGGAGGGAGCCTACTGGGGCTCCTGGACCCCCATCTGCCGAGCTGCACCAGGACCAGGAGCAGGGTGTGGGCTCCTGCTCTGGCCAGGATCCTGGGCTCCCTTGGCCACAAAGCAGGACAGGGGCCCAGAGAGCCCCCAACCCAGGAGACGTGAAGCTCGCAGCTGGTAAGAGCTCCATCCGTGCATCCCCTCTGCCGTACGCCCCCCGTTCCCATCCTGCTTGGCTGCCAGGTTGTGAGGACCCGCAACCCTGGGGCTCTGTGTGGGCCCTGGGGTACTTTTAGGCTGCCCCCACCCATTGGCAGGGAAACAGCACCTGAGACGTCGCGTTAGGTTGGGCAGGGAAGGCGGAGGGTTAATGGGGTGTGACCAGGGTCCACTGGACCACAGCCACCTGCCAGGGCTCCTGACCCCCAAGCCCCACAGGCCAGACACCCCTAATTTCTCTCTGACCTAGGGGGCTCCTCTAGCCCACCTTCCTAACCTCCAGGAAGAGGGGGTTGGCCTTCACCTTGGGTATGCCAACCTCAGTGCCCCTCTCCCTGATGAAGGTCACTCTTCAGGGTCCCTGCCTGTAGGCAGACCTTGGAGCTGAGGCTCCCAGAGGGGAGAAGAAGGGTGCCGGGGAGGGGGACAATTCTTCCAGGGTCTCTGTTTCCGGAAGCCAGGGTGGAGCCTGAGGCACTGGCGCCACCACCTGGCTTTGGCCAGAACTACAATGGCTGAGGGAAGGGAGTGAAGATGCTGTGGGGAGGGGAATCCAGAGCCCAACTATGTGTTGGTCCAGGGTGGTCTGGGTCCTATTCAGCCAGATGGACCCAAAACAATCATTTTCGGGGTCCTACGTGACCCCTAGAATGAGGCCTTAGGCCCATAGAATAGCAGCTTCAAACTTGAGCCGGCATCAAAATCACCCGAAAGGCTTGTTGCTTTAACCTCCACTCGCAGAGTTTATGATTCAGTAGATATGGGGAGGGGCTTAGGAATCTGCATTTCTAACAATTTCCAGGTGACGCTGCTGCTGGCTCTGGTCCAGGGACCATGTTTTGAGAACAACTGCTTTAGAATTTCGGCGGGTTTGGCGCAATATTACCTTTGCAGAGTTCGCCATATTATTATATGTGAAGGCAAAAAAATGAGTGTAAGTAGGAGCACAGGTGCTTGGTCGGCCCACCCTAGTCAGTAACCCCATAATATTTCTTTTTTTAAATTAATTTTTATTGGAGTATTGTTGATTTACAATGTTGTTAGTTTCTGCTGTGCAGCAAAGTGATTCAGCTATACATATATATATATATCCACTCCTTTTTAGATTCTGTTCCCATATAGGTCATTACAGAGCATTGAGTGGAGTTCCCTGTGCCATACAGTAGGTTCTTATGACCTCATCATGTTTCTATTGAGAGCCCACCCAGTGCCCGGCTGGCCCTGCTCTAGGGCTGGTATAAAATGGTGAAAGTGGCAGACGGGTCCCTGCCTCAGAACTCACAGCTGGGCAGGCATGGCATGTGACCTTTCCACTTGCGAGTCTAAAAGGCAGCTCAAAATAAGGTCCAACGCAGAACCTGATTTCACATTCTACCTGCTGCTTCTCAGGTCTTCCCCATTCAGAACCTATCCCACCACCCAGCCCACTTCAAACCCTGTGAGTCATCCTGACTCCTCGCTCCATCTCTCACATCTAATCCCATAAGGCTGTGGGCTCTGCCTCAATTACATCTCAGCCCTGCCCACCGTCATCTCTCCCAGTACCAGGCTCTCCTGGGCTTTCATCCTTGCCCCCATGGTCCGCCCTCTGAGCTGCAGCCAGAGCGATCTTTTTAAGAGGAATCCTGTCACTCCTCTGCTTACCCCCTCCAGTGTCTTCGTGTTGCACTTTTCAAAAGAATCCAAAATCCTGCCATAGTTTTAAGGCCCTAAGTGGTCCTCACCTCTTACCACACTCCCCTTGCTCACTTTGCTCCAGCTACCCTGGCCTCCTTGCTTGTTCCCACCTGTTCCCTCCATCTGGAACACTCTTCCCCAGATCTGCTCTTGGCTGGCTCCCCTTTGCTCTGAAATGTCTTCACTGACCCCTCTATTCAATGTTGCCTCCCACCCTCAGCTACTCTCTGTTCTCATTACCTTGTTTTATTTTGTTCATAGCATTACTGTTCTTCGAAGTTATCTATTAATTTATCAGTTTGCTTGTTTCCTGTCTGCCTTCCCTCATCAGAATGTGAGCACCTTAGGAACAGAGACTGTCTGTACCTCTGTATCCCCAGTACCTAGAATTCTTCCTGCACATAGCGTGTGCTCAATAAATATTTGCTGAATGAATAGGATTATATAGGATTCCCTGTAGGAGTAGGTCCCCCTGACATGACATCAGGGAAGGCTTTCCAGAGGGCCTGTAGAAGTTGGCCCAGTTCAAGCAGAGGAATTAAAAAAAAAAAAAGGGATGTGGGAAGGTCTTCAAGCATGAAGTGTTCTGGAAACTGTACATAGTCCAATTTGGCTGGAGCAGGAGATAGGGGAGGGGAGGTCAGAGGAGTTGGAGAAGCAGCAGGCAGGCCACGAAGGGCCTCCTTGTCCCTTGAGGGGTTTGAGCTCTATGCTGAGGACAATGGCAGCCCCCAAAGGGTGTAACACCATGCAGTTGAGAAAGCACCACTGTGTGAAGAACAGTTTCCAGGGAGAAAGCCTCGGGCGCGGGGGTGAGTACTGGCAGGTGCTGTAGCCCAGGTGAGTGGTGCTGATGCCCTGAGCCGCGCAAGTGGCCACGTGCAGGAGACATTGAGGTGGTCTAGCCAGGATGAGGAGTGGGCTGAGAGAGAGGCACTTGTCATCAGCTTGAGGGAGGCCACCGGAGTGGGAGCAGGTTTGGGGGAAAGACTGGGGTTCTGTTTTAGACAGATGGAATGTGGGTCCAGGTGAGAAGCAGAGACACATGTCAGTTTTGCAGAAAGAGGGAGTGGTCCATGAGGTCGGCTGCTGGAGGGAGCCCTCTTAGATGAGGGGCCAGGAGGATGCCGGTCTTGACGGGAGCAGTTTGGCTGGAGCAGCCTTGGTGTGTGTCAATCAGCGAATGAAGGTGAGGAAGTGAGACCGGGAGCAAAGCACAGGCAGGCAGCTGACTGTATTCATATATTTAAAAAATATATTTATTTATTTATTTGGCTGCACCAGGTCTTAGCTGCGGCATGTGGGATCTTCGTTGCAGCATGCAGGATCTTTTGTTGCGGCATGAGGGATTTTAGTTGCGGCATGTGGGATTTAGTTCCCTGACCAGGGATCGAACCAGGGTCCCCTGCATTAGGAGCATGGAGTCTTAACCACTGGACCACCAGGGAAGTCCCTGTATTCACATTTTAAGTTGGGGGAGGTTTAAGTCCTTTGGAATGTTGAAGGAAGGATCCAGAAGAGACGGATGTTGGTGATCCAGGAAGGGCAAGAGAATGGCTTTTGGAGTCCAAGGATGGTTCTGTTATGAGGAAGAGGTGCCTCTTCCATGGTAATAGGCCGTGAGAGCACAGGCCAGCTTGGTCGCAGGGCGTGGAAGGTTTGGAGGCTGGAAATAAGAGTTCTCAGGTGATGGCTTCTCTTTTTCCAAAGAAGGCAGGAAGATTTTCACTGGGGGAGAAGGAGTGGAGTGAGGGCTTCAGAAGACCTGGGCGTGTGAAATGCCACAGAGGAGCAGGGGCAGCAGCACAGGGAAACTGGATTGTTGGGCTCAGTGAAAGTCCAGTGGAGAGTGGAGATCAGGAGTGTGCAGCAGTCTTAACATGCCCCAAAGCAAGATGGCTGTAGGGTTTTTTCAGGCAGGAATGATGGGAGAACCCTGGGGCAAGGGAGTCAGTGACAGGCTAGACCACTGGGTGGACTGGGGAGGGAGAGAGGTGAAGATGGGAGGGGTCAGTGCATTGGGAGGAGGACGACGACTGAGGTGAGAGAAGAATCTGGAAGCCCCATGACTAATAGCATGGGCAGAGGCTCTGGGATGATCCTGGGATGGGTGAGGTGGGGGATATTGCTTTGGTATCCCCAGGACTTCCCTGGCGGTCCAGTGGTTGAGCCTCCACGCTTCCACTTCAGGGGGCACGGGTTCAATCCCTGGTCAGGGAACTAAGATCCTGCATGTTGCTCAGCATGACAAAAAAAAAAAAAAAAAAAAGGGTATCCCCTTTCTGGGGCTGGGAGTGCCTTCCAGCAGAGGCAGCCATGCAAGGGAAGGGACTCATTATTTCCCCAGGATGCTTCAGGGGGCCTCAGGCCTTCCATTGCAGGGCACTGGCTGTGAAGCAGCCCCACCTGGAAGCTGTTGGAGGCATTGGAGCTGGGCTGGAGACCAGGACTCTGGGGTCTGATGCCTCCACATGCTGCCCCATCACCAGGCTGTTCCTTGCTGGGCCCCCACCCCTTTTCTTGCAGTGGCTTAGCCCCCCTCCCTGACCCTGGGAAGAACCTGAAGGGGGACCCAAAGGTGCCATAGGAGAGTAGGTTCCCATGGGTGAGGGGCTGAATGGAAGGAGAGGCTGGCTTCTCCAGTTCTGTCTTCCAGCCCCAGGAACTCTTCCCGCCTGCCAGGCCCCATGCATAGAATGAAGTGCATTCACGCTCTCAAGGAATCCTTGCAAACCCTCCGAGGTGGGTGCTGTTAGCAGCCCTTCTACCCAGGAGGCCCTGAGGCTCCGGGAAAGCGACCTGCCTCAGGTTGGTGGTAGAGAGGAGCTAGAACCCACCGCTGGTGCCTCCAGACCCCTCCCCTCCCCTGCCCTAAGAGAGTCTGGGGACCCTCTTCCATCTCAGCAGGGGCCTTAGGACCCCGACTCTGACCAGACACAGGAGTCACACTGCTTTGGAGGGGGCTGGGTCACCGTGAGGGGCTGAGTGGTGCCCCATGTTCTACACTCAATCTAAGAGTAGGCCTTGCTCTCCTAAAGGGCCGGAGCAGTGCCAGTGCTGGCGACGGAGGCGAGGACGATGACGCGCGGGGGACGTCAGGCTCGGACCGCGGCGGGATGACGTCTGCAGGTCAGGGGGACCCCCTCCCCGCCCCCCAAGCCGGTCTTTCTGTCCGCCCACGCGTCGGCTGGCTGGTCTGAGAAGTTCCGTCTGGGCCCGCCAGAGGGCGCCCGGGGGCGGTGGAGGGGGCTGGAGCTGGGGAACCCGGAAAGGCCGCGGCCCAGTGGGTCCCGTCTGCGGCTCAGGTCAGAGGGTCAGATGGATGGCCAGGGAATCCGGATTCAGGGGCGCTCAGTGGAGCCGGATTCTGGCGATTGCACGCCCAGGGATTCGTAGTCGAGCATTCTGAGATGCCCGGGCGGCTCGGATGCCGTCCCCCACGACCCTCCAGCCGGGAGGGAGCTGCTCCTGGATCGCGTCCGGGGCGGGTGTCCGGGCCCTGGCCCTGCGATGCCCCTGGTCGAGGAGAGGACACTTGAGAATCCACGAATAGGGGTTAGGAGTGGGAGTCCACTCTTTGGGGGGTGCGCCCCCCACAACCCCTTCCGGGCCCGCCTCGGCCCCGCCCCGGCCCCAGGCCCCGCCCCGGCTGGGCCGCCCCGCCCCGCCCACTACCCTCGGCTGGGCTGGGAGCCCCGGGGGCCGCCGCAGCCGCCAGAGCGCCCGCCATGCGCGCTGCCCCCGCTGCCCCGCTGCTCCAGCTGCTGCTCCTGCTGGGGCCGCGGCTCGAGGCTGCGGGCGTCGCAGAGCCGCCGCTGCCCGCCGTGGTTCTTGCCATCCTGGCCCGCAATGCCGAGCACTCTCTGCCCCACTACCTGGGCGCGCTGGAGCGGCTGGACTACCCCCGGGCCAGGATGGCCCTCTGGTGAGAGAGACCCGGGCATCGGCATCCACCGGGCATCTATCCCCCAACCCCACCGACAGTCCGGGCTCCAGATGGCCCCATCTGCTCGCTGCCCAGACACCACCCAGACAGGCCCCTCCCTCGCAGATAGGCCCTCCGCAACCCGTGTCTCCGGACAGGACCCCTTATCCCCCTGGCCCTGCAGACTGACCTCTGAGGCCTTAGGTTGACAGAGGGACACCATTCCCTAATTCTGGCCCCTATTCCACCTCTTGGGACCTCCTCTGGGTGTAAGTTGGGCCCAGTCCCTCTTGCCCTAGCCCTCAGAGCTGAAACTGAACCCGTGGGACCTGTGGTTGGCTGATTTGGAGCGGAGCAGACAGGAGCAGCTGGCGTCCCCTGGGGCCCGATGTGGCACAGACCAGCAGGCCTCCGGGTTCCTGGGGAGCCCGTGAGGGTGCTCTCAGCCCTGGGCTCCATGCTGCCCTATGGGGGAGTCACACCCGTTCCCCCTTCCCCTGGGCTGGTTCCAGCCTCTCTCAGGAGAGGGGCTGGGTTCTGCGGCCAAGGGCAAAGCCCCCTTCCTGCAGTCTCTCCCCCTAGGCGTCCCTGCAGGGCACTGGAATCAGAGGCCACAGTCTGTGGAAGCCAGAGCAGGGAGGAGTCCCAAGCTGAGGTTGGGGATAAACTGAGAGAAATGACCAAACTACCCTCCCTCCCCAACACACCGAAGTTGGGCTGGGTTTGGAGCCAGTGGCCTGGGGAGGCTGCCCACAATTACCAGTTTGGGAGTTAGTTAGTTCCCACCCATAGAAGACTTGACACGTAGTTAATCTTCACTTCTGGGGAATTGACTTAAAGGGGCAGTATCACCTAAAACCTGGGCTCTTGGCTAAGCCCCCTGCACCCCGCTCTGTCATGAGAGCCCCTTCAGAGAGGCTACTCGTGGTGGCAACGGAGCTCGGGCCCATCAGCATTTCTCAGGGACGCTCAGAGTGTGGTTTGGTCGTTATTACAACTATCTGGTGGAGAGAAGCAGCAGCTCCTCTGTCCAGTCCTGACTCAGAGAGGGGAGGGGACTGACCTGTGGTCACACAGCAGGGAAGGAAGGTAACCAGAGAATGTGGCAGGTATGTTCCTCAAAGTTGAGGTACTTTTCATCCTTCAAAATGCATTTGAGTTCTGTCATCTCAGCCCCTGAGCATGCCAGGACAGCTTAAAGTTACAGGGAGAAAGTGAAGCCCAGAGAGGGTCAGAACCTGCCTGAGGTCACACAGTGGATCACAGACCTATGATTGGGACCTGGCTTCCTGCCTTCCTCTGGAGCACACCTGCTTCCTCTGCTCCCAGGAGAGGCCAGCCCTGCAAGTGTTGGTGCTCCGGGGGTCAAGGCTGCCTCAGGGTTTGGTCCTTCGGTGGCTGTGCCCCCTCACCCTTCTTCCTCCTGTGTCCTCAGGTGTGCCACAGACCACAACGTGGACAATACCACAGAGATGCTGCAGGAGTGGCTGGCTGCTGTGGGCGATGACTATGCTGCTGTGGTCTGGAGGCCTGAGGGGGAGCCCAGGTGGTGACCTGAGGGGAACGTTTTCTGGGGAAGATGGACAACAGCTGCAGCCCAGAGAAGGAAAGGGACAGCCCCGAGCCACAGCCTCCAGACCAGGGCCCTGTCCACTGCCCTGCAGAGAGGGACACCACATGCACCTACTGCATGGGAACATCTCATCGTTTTACCCCCTCAGGTCCTACCCAGACGAAGAGGGCCCTAAGCACTGGACCAAAGAAAGGCACCAGTTTCTGATGGAGCTGAAACAGGAAGCCCTGACCTTTGCCAGGGACTGGGGGGCTGACTATATCCTGGTAAGAAAGCCTGGCCTACAATTGGGCTTCCCACAGGTGGTGGCACCTGTCCTTGACAGAAATCTTGGCGTGACTTAACCACCTGTAGGCTGGCTCCTTCAGCTAGCAACCTGGGTCAGAACCCAGATCAGATATTGAGCTTGGATCCTTATGCTTGAGCTCAGACTTGGTACTAAACCTGGATCCCTGAGTCAGAGTGCAGGGTATATACTGAGACTCGATCCCTGGGCTAGAGCCCAGAGTATAAACTGAGCCTAGTTCCCTGGACTAGAGCTCAGAGTAGGTCTTTGGATTTACTTCCTAAAACTTCAGATAAAGTTCTTAGATCAGCAATTCGGGTATAATCTCTGGACCCAATCCCCAAGCCAGTGCCCCAGACTAGATTCTTGGTCCAGAAATGGATCTACTGGTTTATAGGTTAGACCTCTCTGAGGGAACCCCATTGGATCCTGGGAGACTTTCTGGGTTTCTGGAAATCTGGAGGGATCCCACTCAGTGAATCCTTGGGGGACTGCAGCCCAGACAAGGCTGGGGCCTGTGACATCCCCCTCCCCACAGTTTGCAGATACGGACAACATTCTGACCAACAACCAGACACTGCGGCTTCTGATCGAGCAGGGGCTGCCCGTGGTGGCCCCGATGCTGGACTCTCAGACCTACTACTCCAATTTCTGGTGTGGGATCACCCCTCAGGTAAGGCCGGGTTCGGGGGCCTCAGGAGGCTTGAGGTCTGAGAGGAGGGACGTGGAGAGACTGAAGGCCTTAGGGTCTGTGGGCCCTGGCAGGGGAGCAGTGTGCTGGGGATGGAGGGGCGCCCTCTCACAGCCCGGAGCCACCCCTTCCCCAGGGCTACTACCGCCGCACAGCCGACTACTTCCCTACCAAGAACCGCCAGCGCCGGGGCTGCTTCCGTGTCCCCATGGTCCACTCCACCTTCCTGGTATCCCTGCGGGCGGAGGGGACAGAACAGCTGGGCTTCTACCCCCCTCACCCCAACTATACCTGGCCCTTCGACGACATCATCATCTTCGCCTACGCCTGTCAGGCTGCTGGTGAGGACAGCCCTCCTTGAGCCTTTCTCCCAGGCCTCTAGGCCTTTGCACATGCTATTCCCTCTGCTTGGCATGCTCTTCCCCACTCTGCAATTAATCTTTTTAATTCCTGTGTGTCCTCCAGGTCATAGCCTTTCTTGGGCCCACTGCCCCAGTAGGTTAGATGTCCTTCTGGCCGTCCCCACCATGGTACTTTCACGTATTCCTTCATTAGGCAAATATTTATGGGACACCTACCAGGTGCCAGGCACTGGGGAGACAGCAGTGAGTAAAATCAGGCAGTCTCTGACCTCCTGGATCCTCCAGTCCAGTCAGTCAAAGGATCACACAAATCAATGTCCAATCACAATGACCGGAAGAAGAGCTTTTTGATTATAGGTGTTTTGGGAGCTTAGACTAGAGTTAACCTGTCAGGGAAGGCTTCCTGGAGGATGTAAACTTTGGGGCTGAGATCTAAAGTATGGGCAGACATTAACAAGGTAGACAGAGCAGGACAGAGCATTTTAAGCAATGGGACCAGCAGGTGCAAAGGCCCTGTGGTGGCAGGGGATGCAAGAAGGCAGGCAGCTGGAGCACAGTAAGCAAAGGGGGCATGGTGCAGGCTGAGGCAGGAAAGGTAGGCAGGGGCCAGCTTGTGTGGACCTGATGGGCAAGCATCTGGTCTTTAGCCTGTGGGTGTTGGGCAGCCATCAGAGGATCATGTGATTGGATCTGAACACTAGAAAATATCATTCTGTTGTCAGTGGTTATTTTTAAGATGAAGGTTACTAGAAAGTGTTTGGGTTTGGGGAATTCCCTGGCGGTCCAGTGCTTAGGACTCTGCTTTCTCTGCTGAGGACTCAGGTTTGATCCCTGGTCAGGGAACAAAGATCCCGCAAGCTGTGTAGCGCCGCCAAAAAAAAAACAAAAAGAAAAAAAAGTGTTTGGGTTTGGATGGGATAAACCCAGTTCTGAGGAAGAGTCGACGTTGAGAGTGAGACAGAGATACTGCTGTTGGAATAAAGATCTTGAGAAGGCTACACAGAATGTATTTCATGGTGTGCACTCATGGGTGGCAAGGACATGAAGGCTGTCTGGTGGGTGGAGAACTCTGCTCATGGTCAAGGTGAATTAGAAGTGATGATTTAATCAAGAAGTGTTGCACTTGGGCAAGCAGTGTGTGAGAAGTGTCCAGGGAGAAGAGTGTCATCTTTTTTGTGTGTGTGCATGAGGTACTAGCAACATCTGCAGTGCAGAGATGCAGGAAGAAAAAAAAACCAAGTGCAGAAAGAGAATGAAGGTGAAACAAATACATGGAGAAAAAAATGAGAAGAAGCAAAAGTATTTCCTTTTTTTTTTTTTTTGGCTACACCGGGCGGCTTGTGGGATCTCAGTTCCTCAATCAGGGATTGAACCCAGGCTCAGAATCCTAACCACTAGGCCACCAGGGAATTCCCTATTTCCTTATTTTTTTCATTCCTACCTCTACTTTGAGTATCAGCCGCTCTTTATTGGTCAGCGGTTTGTAGGAATTTCGTGAACAGGGGTTTTGTCTCCATCATTCATGCTTCCACCACCTGCACTGGGCCAGGCTTTGTGCTCAATGCTGGGCCTGGAGTTAACTCTTTTTTTTTTTCTCTGTTGTTGTTGTTGTTGTTGTTGTTGTTTTTTTGCGGTACGCGGGCCTCTCACTGTTGTGGCCTCTCCCGTTGCGGAGCACAGGCTCCGTAGGTGCAGGCTCAGCGGCCATGGCTCACGGGCACAGCTGCTCCACAGCATGTGGGATCTTCCCGGACCGGGGCACGAACCCGTGTCCCCTGCATCGGCAGGCGGACTCTCAACCACTGCGCCACCAGGGAAGCCTTGGAGTTAACTTTTTAATAGATACCATGTGCCTGCCCTGGAGGACTCACAGTCTATAGAAGACAAAGGCTAAATAAATAATTATAATAAAGATGATAAACATTGAAGGAATAAAAAAGGCCACTCTGGTTGCCAGGTGGAGGACAGCATGGTGGGGGCAGGCGAGGGGGTAGGGTTAAGTGTAGGGATCCAGGCAAGAGGTGATGGTGCTGGATTGGCGAGGGGGGTTGGGCAGAGGTGGGAAAGATTTAGGGGGTGGAGCAACGCCCGGTGGCATCAGGTGGCTGTAGCCAGGTGTGAGTTTGCCTGCTCCTTCCTCACCTTGATCCCCTGAGGGCAGGGACTGTCTGTCTTTCTCACCACCAGCAGCCAGCTGGTGCTCTAGACGCGTCTATTGCGTGAATAAACCATTTCGGCAGGAAGATCCCTTAGATATTGTTTGAGCCAAGCCGTTTCTCCCTCCAAGCCCAGGTGGGAATGCCGGGTCCCAGACAGGACTCACGTGGTGGGTCACTGGCAGGACTGGGCCTAGGACCTCCCATCTGGGTTCTGAGAGCCCCACCCTGCACTCCAGTGCTCACTCGGCCTCTCTCCGCAGGGGTCTCGGCCCACGTGTGCAACGAGCACCGTTATGGGTACATGAACGTGCCTGTGAAATCCCACCAGGGGCTGGAGGATGAGAGAGTCAACTTCATCCACCTGATCTTGGAAGCGCTGGGTGAGGGCTGCGAGCCGGTGTGTCCCCCCTCCCCACCGCCGGGGTTGAAGCCTCTCCCCAACTCATTCCCTGACTCTGGGCAAGTCCCTTTTCCCCCTGGGCCTCAGTCTGCCCATCCGTACAATGGAGGCAGGTGGATTCTGTGATCTCCTGCTGGGTATTCTGCCAGGGGGCAGGAACGAGGGGGGCTAGGACTCCAGGGCTGCCGCTGACTAGAGCCAGTAGGGACTCATGATGGGGGGGTGCTTTCCTCTGCAGTGGATGGGCCCCCCATGTGGGCCTCAGCTCATGTGTCCCGGCCCCCAAAGAGGCCCAGCAAGATGGGGTTTGATGAGGTAAGTCCTCCCGGCCTGCAGGATTGGGGCCAGGAGGTGGGTGGGCTCTCCCCTCCCCTCCCCCTGCACCCACTCCCCTGCCTCCCCTCCTCTTCCAGGTGTTTGTCATCAGCCTGGCCCGCCGGCCCAACCGCCGAGAGCGCATGCTTAGTTCGCTCTGGGAGATGGAGATCTCTGGGCGTTTGGTGGATGCCGTGGACGGCCGGTGAGGCTTCCTGGGTGGGGACAGGACCCTGGGCAGCCAGTGGGGACTGGGTGGTCCATCACAGCTCCATGGGGGTGGGAAAAGCAGACAGTGAGCTGAATGAGTTTGCCATTCTAGGAGGTATTCAAACAGGGCCTGAGTAATTCTGTCTCGGGGAGTCCCAGGGCAGACAGAACAGGACAGGGTGCCCTCCCTCAGCCCACCTGAGGGAGGAGAGTACAGTGGTTAAGGCCCAGGGTCTGGAGCTTCTGGGCGTGGTCACCAGCTGTGTGACCTCCATCTCTCAGCCCTACTGTGTAAACGGCGAGTAACTGCCTTCCTCTTAGGGGCTTGTAAGGGTTCAGTGAAGGTTTAGCCGGGGCCTGAAATGTAGTAAGTATCCCAAAGGTTAATAATGTCTTCATTACGATTATCAGGGTTACTCTTTTCCATCCTGAACTTAGGTCCCTGATGGGCGGGGCGAGGGTGGGAGCAGGCCAGTCGTGTTCCCCCGGCAACCAGGGGTCACACGGCCCCACGTGCCCACTGCTGTTTGCTGCTTATGCCCCGGCCCTGTGGACTGCAGGAAGTCCATCCTTTGCTTGGGCCGCTGCCTAAGAAGTATCCGCCGCGTTCCCCGCATTCATCCTGGGGTGTGTCCCCCTCAGACTGCTGCCCCCTCCCCTTAGGATCCCCCCCGCCCGAGGTGGCAGTGGCTTTCCAGGTCCAGTCACTGATGGCTTCAGGCCACACGAAGCAGTAACAAGACTGAAGCCTCCTTCCAACCAGACTCCAGTGTGACTGTCCCCAACTTGCACAGGCCAGTTCCCCCTGGACAGGTCCCTGGCGGGCACCCCTGACCCCCTTATACCATCTGCCTCAGGACACTCAACAGCAGTGTCATGAGGAGCCTCGGCGTGGACCTGCTTCCCGGCTACCAGGACCCCTACTCGGGCCGCACACTGACCAAGGGCGAGGTGGGCTGCTTCCTCAGCCACTACTCCATCTGGGAGGAGGTGAGGACCCCCATCCACTGCTCTGTGCCAGCACTCGTGTGACCGGGGGTTGACCGAGCACACTAACAATGACCCGGCCAGCAGCTTTCAGCCTCCTAAGGGCCCAACCCTATACCTTATTCACCCTGCGGTCTCCACTGAGCACCTGCTGTGTGCTAGGAGAGCTTCTGCTCTGAGAACACAGAGGTGAACAAGAAGAATGCAGCCGGTCCCTCCTGGGGCAAAGGGACCAGAGCAAGGCGCAGAAATCAAGAACTAGGGTTGCCGCGGAGCGGGGATATACAGGCCGTTTGAGAGTGCGGACTGGCCCGGCCTCCTGGCCTCCTGTGGGGTCAGGGTGGGCCTCACCATTGAGGGGCAGGGAGAGGAGGCTTCTCAGCAGAGGAAGGCAGTGCGGGCACAGGCCCTGGGGCTGAAGGAGTTGGGTGTGTTCTGTGTGGGAAGAAGAAAGGCCTAGGGCTTGGCCAAGCAGCCTCAGCCCTGGGCTGGGGTGTGAGTGCCTGGGAGAGGTCACTGCCTGGACACAGCAGGAGAGGACCCGGGCCTGGCCCTCCAAGGGGCGCCCCCTCCAGGAGGTGGAGCACAGACTCACTCCTTGTTTTTATTTTCTACTGTAGCCAGAATATGGGCGTGTGAGCTTATATTTCTGCTTTTCTGCTACCTCTGAACAGATTGAAGGATGATGTATGTTTCACCACTTACTGAGCTGATCTCATGCTCTTTTCACATTTCCAACAGTTACAAAAAGTATTTTTTCTCAGGGATGTGTGGGGCTAGGGCCTTCCTCCACCCCCCAGCCTAGCTTCCTCGAGGAAAGCCCAAGAGGCAGAAGTGAGGAGCCAGGCCCTGGAGTCCAGCAGATGTGGTTCAGATCCCAGTTCTGCCACTTCCTGGCTGTGTGTCCTTGGACGAGTGGGTTCATCTCCCTGTGTCTCCATCTCCTTGCCGCAGTACGGGGACATCATGCCTCCTGAGGGTCCCTGGAGATGAGCACTGTGGCCCCAGTGCTCAGTGACTGCAGCAAGGGTTCTGATTGCCATTGTGATCTGCTTGGAGAGCAAGACTACCCTCTGGACCCGTCTTCCATCGGGAGAAACCACTCAGAGACGGGTCCCCTTCCCCGAAGGTCACGTAGCGCAAGGGCAGGGCTCACAGGCCCCCTTACTTTGCCGGCCTGATTCAGGGCCAGGGGTGGAGGGAAGAAGGGAGGCCCCCCCAGCCCCGCCCAGCCTTTAGCAGCTGAGCGACGCAGCCAGGGCTGAGCATTTGGCCTGTAACTGAGGCCAGGAGTGTCTGTCAGAGTCAGCCAGGTGGGAGGGGTCTAAAGAGCCTCCCCCACCACCGTGTACCACAGGTGGTTGCCCGGGGCCTGGCCCAGGTCGTGGTGTTTGAGGACGACGTGCGTTTTGAAAGCAATTTCAAGATGCGGCTGGAGCGGCTGATGAAGGAGGTGGAGGCGGAGAAACTTCCTTGGGACCTGATGTAGGCAGCCAGTGCCCCCAGGGGCCAGGGAGAGGGGTGGGCCTCCAGGGGTCTGCCTCCTCCTGAGGGGTTCTGGGACATCTACAGTGACTCCTGGGACTCCTGGTGTCACCTGCAGCTACCTCGGCCGGAAGCAGGTGAACCCTGAGGAGGAGGCAGCCGTGGAGGGGCTGCCGCACCTGGTGGTAGCTGGCTACTCGTACTGGACACTGGCGTACGTCCTGAGCCTGGCTGGCGCCCGCAAGCTGCTAGCCTCCCAGCCCCTGCACCGAATGCTGCCCGTGGATGAGTTCCTGCCCATCATGTTTGACCAGCACCCCAAGTGAGCCTCAGATGGGGGCAGGGCAGGGTCAGCCTATCTCGAGAGCCCACCTCAGCAAGTAGTAAGTCCCCTCACTGGGCAGGTGGAGAGACTGAGGCTGGCAGGGCTGAATCACTTCCTTCTGGTCACCAAGGAATAGCCCAGCTTAGCCTTGGAGTCAGACCAATCTATGTGTGAATTCTGTGATGCCCTGTGGTTTTCAGTCAAGCAATTTTCCTGTTCTGTGCCTCAGTTTCCCCATCCGGAAAATGGGGATAAGAGAAATCCTGCCTCAGGATTAGATGGGGAGGGCGGTCAGGTGCTCTGGGGGTGAGGTGCCTGGCTCCGGGCTGACATGGGTCTGGGTGGAGGGGCCTACCCCAGCCCCCCTGAGCCAGCCTCCCGCCTCCCAGTGAGCAGTACAAGGCACACTTCTGGCCGCGGGACCTGCGGGCCTTCTCAGCCTGGCCCCTGCTCGCTGCTCCCACCCACTACGCGGGGGACGCTGAGTGGCTCAGCGACACAGAGACGTCCTCGCCCTGGGACGATGACAGCGGCCGCCTCATCAGCTGGAGTGGCTCTTATAAGACCCTGCGGGACCCCCGCCTGGACCTGGCCGGCAGCAGTGGGCACAGCCTCCATCCCCACCCCCAGGATGAGCTCTAGGTGGGCCTCGGTTTTCTCTCGCCTTCAACGACTGACTCTGTGTTTGGGTCTCCCTTTCCTCTTCTCAGCTGTCTTCTCTCTCTCCCTCTCTCTGTTTCGGGCTTTCTCTCTCTCTGTCTCTGTTTGTATCTTTGACTGTGTCTGCATTTCTCTGTCCACCTCTAACTCCCTCTCTCTCGCTCTCTTTCTCTCTGCCCATCTCTATCTCTTTGTGTCTCTCACTATCTCTGTATCTGTTTCTGTCTCTGTCTCTCACTGTCCAACTCTAGTTCTTTCTACTTCTCTCCTCTTACCTCTCTTGTCCCACCAGGTCAGGCTGGTGACTCCAGAGAAGTACCAGGGAATAGGCCATAGCTGTCCAGGGAGCAGAGCAAGAGCCGCCACCAGGAACCATAGACCCAGTAGAGACCTGGCTGCCACCTTGGGCATGGCCACTCTGCCCTCTGGACTCGTCTTCCATTGGGAGAAACCACTCAGAGACGGGTCCCCTTCCCCAAAGGTCACGTAGCACAAGGGCAGGGCTCGCAGGCCCTCTTACTTTGCCAGCCTGATTCCGGGCCTGGGGTGGAGGGAAGAAGGGAGGGCCCCCAGCCTTCAGTTTCAAGCTGGGCGGACACAGGAGCCCTGCCCCCAGCTGAGGACCCAGCTGCTGGGGCCCCTCTGCCACCTTCTACCTCCACCTCAGTTCCCTATCCAGCTTGACACATGGGTCTCACCTGCCACCCTCTTCCCTGGCCAGTGGGAAGTGCAGGGAGGTGGGAGGAGGACCCAGCACACAGTAGGCCCTCAATAAAAGCTGGCTGGTATTGCACTTTATACTTTTTAACTCATGGTTGAGCCTCTTTGCGTGTCCTGAGGGCTGGGAGGGAGGCGTTCCTGATCTGTGGATGAGCAGGTGGAGAGACAGAGAGGGGAGGGCAGCCTAGAGAAGGAGTCAGGCGATCGATCTGGCATCACGTCCTCAGTCTGCTCATCGGTAAAGTGGAGGTGGGAGGAGAAGTATCTCATGGGCCAGGTGGGTATAAAGTAGCCAGGCCTGGAGCCCAGCCCACAGTGAGTGCTTACCCACTGCGGCTGTCGTGGTCATCACTGGCCTCACCTTGCTGGCCAGGGTGGGCCCAGGCCAGACCGAGGGCTGCTGAGGCCTCCTTGCCTTTGGATCTTCACTTGGGCAGTTGGAACCCCTCCCCTGGAAGTGGCTGGGGAGATCCAGGGCTCCCCTCCTGCCCTAACTAGTGTGGCAGCCAGAGGGCGCAAGGTGGCAGAACCTGGACCTTGTGGGCCAGGGCGCCCTCTGCTGGTTTGGGGCCAGCAATGGGAAGGGCGCCTGGGGCATTTGGAATCCGCCCCCTGTGCTCTGGGTTACTTGCAGCAGCTTCACCTTCTAATGCTCTCCTGCTTGGGAACTGCCGGCCTTCCTCTCTCCCCACCCCTGGAAGGCCCAGCAACTGTCTCCACTGCCTGTGCTCAGGCAGCCGGAGGGGATGGGGAGGCGACTCCTTGTCTTGCCCGTAGCTGCTATGGCTCCACCAGCGCAGGACCTGCCATCTCCAGGTTTCCTCCTTCAGAGGAGCCCCTCCCCCATGCAGCCCCTTGACTTGGTCTTGTAAGCCCCTGGGTCCTGGCAGAGTCAGTCAGGCACCCCCTGGGGCTGGGCTTTCCCTCCTTCCGTACCAGGGATGAGGTCCTGCTGGCCTGGCTTTGGTTCCAGAGCTTGGCATGGCTCTGAGAAGGACTTTAGGCCAGAGCTGTGGCATTGGTGCTTTGTTCATTCCAAGACCAAAAGCTATTGATTCTGGATGGCTATGACCTTGAGTAAGTCAATTCTCCCTTCCAGGCTCCAGGTGTCCCTTTGACTCATTAAAATGAACATCTATTGAGCACCCTCTATGGGCCATGTTTAGATACTAGGGATACAGCGGTGAATAAAACTGTCCCTCAAAAATCCCTGACCTCATAGAGCTGACATTCTAGTGAGGGAGACAGACAAAAACAGAGAAGCAAATATTGGAGGTTGTTGAGTCCTACAGAACAAAATGAGGGAGGAAATATCAAGTATGAGCTGAGAAGTTAACACATGAACAAAGACTTCAAGGAAGTGAGGGGACAAGCTATGGGGATATGGGAAAGAAGACCATTCTAGGCCAAGGGGGCAGCATATGCAAAGGTCCTGAGGCAGGAACAGGACTGGCAGGTTCAAAAGACAGGGAAGATGCCACTGTGGCTGGAGCAGAACGAGCAAGGAGGAGCCAAGTTCTGGAGGTGAGGGAGCCAAGGCCAGGGCCAGAGCACGGAGGGCCTTGGAGGTCATTTTGGCTTTTACTCTGAGACAGGGAGCCCCTGGAGGGTTTGAGGCAGACAAATGACACAATTTAATTTTTATTTTAACATGATTACCCTGGCTGCTGTAATGAAATGTAGTTGGATCCAGGGTAGCAGTAGGTAGATGGGTTAGGAACCCATTGTAATAATCCAAGTGAGACATGATGGTGCCCCAGACCAGGGTGTTAACAGTGGGGTCGGTGAGAGGCAGCAGCAGAATTTCAGGAGGAGACACTGATACGCCACCGCTGGGAGCTGCTCCCTGCGCTGCCTAGCAACGGTCAACCCCTCTGTGTTCTTCCACATTGTCAGCGAGCCCTTGGGCTACATCTCCTTCAGGCTGTTTGCAGACAAAGTTCCAAAGACAGCAGAAAACTTGCGTGCTCTGAGCACTGGGGAGAAAGGATTTGGTTATGAGGGGCCTCCTTTCACAGAAGTATTCCGGGATTTATGTGCCAGGCTGGTACCATCATGGCACTGGTGGCATCCAGCTACAAGGAGAAATTTGATGACGAGAATTTCACCCTGAAACACACAGGTCCTGGCACCTTGTCCGTGGCAAATGCTGGACCCAACACAAGTGGTTCCCAGTTTCTCATCTGCACTGTCAAGACTGAGTGGCCGGATGGCAGGTGTGTGGTCTTTGGCAAGGTAGAAAAGGTCATGAACGGTGTGGCAGCCGTGGACCACGCTGGATCCAGCAATGGCAAGACCAGCAAGAAGCTCACCATTGCTGTCTGTGGACAAATCTAGTAAATCCGACTCGTGCCTTATCTTAAACAGCCCATTCCTTCCGTAGCTCAGTAGAGCATCCCTCACCCTCATCTGCTCGGGACATCCTATAATCTTTGTGCTTTTGCTGCAGTGCTTTGGGTTTCACATTTTCCATTCCCCGCTCCAAGTCTAGCTGAATTGCAGAGTTAAGTTTATGATTATGAAATAAAAGCTAAACAACAACAGAGAGAGAGACCTAGACAGATTGAGGATAATGTCAAAGTTTTGGACCCAAATTACTAGAAGAATGGAACTGCCATCAACAGAAATGGAGAAAACTACAGAGTGTGGGGTAGGGGACTGGCTTGGGGCGGGTCAGGAGATCATTTTCAGATGTGCTACATTTGAGATTCAGGTGCAGGTGTCAGTGAGTTAGATACACGAGCCTGGGATTCAGGGGTCGGGTCTGGGCTGGAGATAGAAGCTTGGCATCCCCTGTCCTGACCCAGAAGTCCTGGCCCCAAACCACACACCCCACCACCTGTTACCTGGGGAGCTGGTTGAAATGCAGATTCCTGCCCCCTCCTAATTCTCCTGCCCAGGGTTCTGATTCAGTAGGTTGTGGGTGAGGCCTGTTTTTGAACAAAACTATCGCAGGTGATCCTGAGGAGCTGACAGGTTTGCGAACTGTAGCTATATCTACGTACGGTAAAATTTACTTTGATTTTTTTTTTGGAATGAATGAGTCTTTAAATTCTATAGTGCTTTACAATTTTCAACAGTTTCACACACATGATTTCATATAATTCCATAATAACCCTGTTTTTCCCCTAACCCTCTACTGCACCTCCCCCTTCCCTGTCCCCACTGGTAACCCCTAGTTTGTTCTCTGTATCTAGGGGTGTGTTTCTTTTTTTAATTATGGACATTTATTTGATTTTATTTTTTTATGTTGGGGGTAGGAGTTTATTAATTTACTTATTTATTTTTGCTGTGTTGGGTCTTCGTTTCTGTGTGAGGGCTTTCTCTGGTTGCGGCAAGCGGGGGCCACTCTTCATTCTTTTTTGTTTTATTCACCAGTTTGTTGTATTTTTTTTTTTGATCCCACATATAAGTGATATCATACAGTATTTGTCTTTCTCTGTACTTTGATGATTTTTGACAGATGTAAAGTCATGCCACCAGTACTACAGTGAAGATACGGAATATATACATCCTCCCAAAAAGTTCTCCTCTGCCTCTCTGCAGTCGATTCCCTTTTCCCACCCCAGTCCCTGGAAACCACTGATCTGTTTGCCTTTTCCAAACTGTCACCTGGATGGAATCATGTAGTACCTGGCCTTTTGTGTCTGTCTTCTTTTATCCAGTATGTTTTATTTGGAAGTTTTATACAAAACTGAGCTTTAAAGTCTTCCCTAATATTTTATACCACAGTTTCTAATCCTAATATATATTATGAAGAATGAAGTATGAAATTTTCATCAAGACTTCCAAACGTCCCCCAATACCCACCAGACTACTCAGATGCTGTGTAAATATTTTGGTTTTCTGTGGGTGCCCTGCTCTGAAAAAAGGCTGGGAAGTCTTTCTCCAAGGCATACCCACTGCTTGGGGGAGGCATGGGGAACTGCAAGAAAGTGAGAGTGGGGATGGGTCGGGGCAAGAACCAGGTCTCCTTCTCGCTCCTGCTGGACCACTTCTAATCTGCTCTTCCCCCCACCCCGCTACTGCCACAATAGTGTGCAAACCAAGAGACAAGGGGCTTTGCTATGAGTAAATGGCAGCTTTGGGGCATTGGCTGTTTGCCAACTGTTTCGCCTGCTTGGGGAGCTCTTTTTTTCCTTCCGGTTTCTTAGCCGAATTGTAGATGCTGGAGAATTCCCTGGCGGTCCAGTGGTTAGGACTCCGCACTTTCATTGCTGAGGGCCCTTGTTCAATCCCTGGTGGGGGAACTAAGATCCCTTAAACAGCAGGGCGGCCAAAAAAAAAAAAAAAAAAATGAAGGGATACTGGAGAAGAGCCCTCCCTGCAAACCTACTAGTCACAGCGTAGGCCTTGCGGGCAGAGAAAACTGGCTTGAGTTGTCTCAGCCCCTTCTAGCTCTGTGACCATGGGCAAGTGTCCTGACCTCTCTCGAGGCTCAGTTTTCTGCTCTGTAAAATGGGACTACACTCAAGCCGACCTCACCAGATGTTGTGAGGATTCATTGAGCTAATGCAGGTGAGCGCGGTGCCTGGCACAGAGGGAGTGCTGCACTGAGGGTCACTGGTATCACAGTGACCCTCCAGACGATGACAGTGAATCAGGATGGACTTGGGTGGTCTGCCTGAGTCAGAGGAAAAAGTGTGGCAGGGAGAAGGAGGGTGTCTCTGTAAACAGGTAATCTAATTTCCAGTTTCACCTCTGCCACTGAATTATCTGTACCCCTTGAGCCAGGTCCTTCTCCTCTCTGTAAAATGTGTTTCCTTCATTAAAATGAAGGGGCATGACCAGATTTGCCCTCCAAGATCACTCCCAGATGGTCCGGGAAGTGGTTCTCAAACTTTAGAGTCCAAACTTTACAGTGCATCCGAATCACCTGGAGAACTTGTTAAAACACAGATTGCTGCTCCCCCCGCCCCCCAGTTTCTGATTCAGTAAGTCTGGGGTGGAGCCTAAACAATGTGTATTTCTAACAAGTTCCCTGGTGATGCTGATGTTGCTGGTACAGGGACCCCACTTTGAGAACCGCTGCTTTGGGCCACCGTAGAACCTGGACTCTCTTCTCAACTGAGTCCAGCGTCCATCCAATCTCAGAGGCCCAGGGTCACTGAGGGGCTGGTTAAAGGTCCAAGAGGAGCCAATCCTTGATAGGGCCTGGGAGAATTTTCTCTCCCTACTCCACCCAGGACTTGAAATCTCTCAAGTCACCTGAAAGAAAAAGCTAGACCCTGTTTGGAGCACGGATTCCTTCTCCCCAGGGTTATGCTGTGGCCATTGCATCAGGGCCCTGGAGGAAGTGCGCTAAGATGGAAACAACTGGTAATCAGGCCCTAGGGCAAATGGTGAGGCTGCTCCAGAGCCTAAGGACTCGGGCCATCCCCCTGCCAGGAGCTGCACGCAGGGCTGGGGTCCAGCGCTGGAGCTAACAACTCCTCCTTCACCTGTGTTTATTTCCAACGAATAAGAAAAGCCCAGGTTCATTGTTGAAATTTAGAGAAACAGAATGAGGAAACTAAAATCGTTAGTGTTAACATTCTGAGAGAGTGTCTTCCGGTTAAAAATTTAAAAAAAAACTTTTATTACTTAAGCTGGGTGGCTGGGTGGTGCTCCATTAGTGTTTATTTTATTGTTATTAATATTATTATTATTTTTGGCTGCACCGTGCAGCATGCAGGAATCCTACTTCCCTGACCAGGGATGGAACCCATGCCCCGTGCAGTAGAAGCACAGAGTCCTAACCACTGGACCGCCAGGGAAGTCCCGATTTTATTATACATCTTTAAATGGAACAGATACATTATGTTTGGGTTGAATTGTGTCCCCCAAAAGTTAATATGTTGAAGTCCTAACACCAGTACCTCAGAATGCAACTTTATTTGGAAATAGATTTGTTATAGTTGTAATTAGTTAGGATGAGGTCATACTGGAGAAATATGGGTCCCTAATATCCACTACAGCTGTTATCCTTATAAAAAGGGGAAATTTGGATGCAGACACACACACGTGGAGAAGGCCATTGGTAGACTGGAGTTCCGCTACCAAGGAACTACCAAAAGCTAGGACCAAGGCCTGGACCAGATCCTTCCCAAGCACCTTCAGAGGGAGCATGACCCTGCCAACACCTTGATCTCAGACTCCTGGCCTCCAGAACTGTTTAGTTCTGTTTAGTTTCTGTTGTTTCATTCACCCAGTTTGTGGTACTTTGTCAAGGCAGCCCTAGGAAACTAATACACATTACATACCCTCTTTTGTTCACAGTTTTATTTTTTATTTCATTTATTTATTTTTAAATTTTTGACCGCCTCTCACGATATGAGGGATCTTAGTTACCCAACCAGGGATCGAACCCATACCCTGTGCAGTGGAAGCGCAGAGTCTTAACCACTGGACCACCGGGGAAGTCCCTGTTCACAGTTTTAAAAAGAGGATATATAAGTGTAATACAAGAAACACCCATGTATCCTCCACCCTAAATTTGTAGTTTTTTTCTCTGTGAATATATATCTACATCATCATGGTCGACTTACAGCTTTGCACCTTGCCTTTTACTTTTCTCAGCTATATGTTTTGGAAACCTTTCCACATTCAACAATTGATCTGTCTTATTATCTATTTTATTATTATTTTTTGGCTGCATTGGGTCTTCATTGCGGTGTGCGGACTTCTTACTATGGTGGCTTCTCTTGTTACGGAGCACGGGCTCTAGACGCGTAGGCTTCAGTAGTTGCAGCACGCAGCCTCACTAGTTGTGGCCCGCAGGCTCTAGAGTGTAGGCTCAGCAGTTGTGGTGCACGGGCTTAGTTGCTCCGCGGCATGTGGGATCTTCCCGGACCAGGGCTCGAACCCGTGTCCCCTGCATTGGCAGGCGGATTCTGAACCACTGCGCCACCAGGGAAGTCCGGTTACATCAATTTTTAAACCTACCAGCAATGTGTGAGACTGCTCATTTCCCAATGTCCTCATCAGTGCTAGGTAGTGCTCTTAAAAAAAAAAGTGGCCAGTGCTGGCCAGGCTTGGAGAGGCTTGAATTCAGAAAACACGGTCCAGCAATCCAAAGTGATATCAGGGAATTCCCTGGCGGTACAGTGGTTAGGACTCCATGCTTCCACTGCAGGGGTCACGGGTTTGATCCCTGGTCAGGGAACTAGATCTCACAACTAAAAGATCCTGCATGCTGCAAAGAAGATCCCGCAAGCTGCAACTAAGGCTCAGCGCAGCCAAATAAATAATATATTTTTTAAAATTCCTGTTTTCTTTCCAATCGCACGTCCTTCCTGCAAGCCGCTTGATGCAGCCAAAACAAAACAAAACAAAAAACCCCCACAAAAAAACAAAGTGATATCAGAATAACTCAAGTTCTTTACCTGCATTTCTCAAACACCACAAAAGGGGCAGATAACAGACCACAGCTATGCTTTAAAAATTCCCCTTCTCTGGCACTTCCCTGGTGGTCCAGTGGTTAAGACTCCGAGCTCCCAATGCAGGGGGCCCGGGTTCGATCCCTGGTCAGGGAACTAGATCTCACAACTAGAAGATCCTGCACGCTGCACAGAAGATCCTGCAAGCCGCAACTAAGACTCGGCGCAGACAAATAAATAAATAAATAAATAATATTTAAAGAAAAAATCCTGTTCTCTTTCCCATCGCACGTCCTTCACCCACTACAGGTGTCCCTGTGCCCCTGTCTTCAGCACCCCTTCCTCCCTGTTGCCTGTCTCTAAGATTTTCCCCCTCCTCCTTCCTGTCACTCGCTTCCAGTGTATGCATGTGTGTGTATGTGTGTGTGTGTTGAGGGTGGTGACCTCTCAGTCCTGTCCATTCTCAGATTCTCCATCACAAAAGCCCCGAAGAACTGCACTGGCAGAGAAAAACCCTCCTCATATGGTGGGTAGGGGACAGAACCACAGAGGCAAAATCCTTCAGTGGGTGGGGAGGGGAAAGCTTTAATCATTTCATCTGGTCACGTCAGAGGGGTTGGCTGTGTACTCCTTGAAGACCGAGTGGGATGTGTTGCTTTGGTGTCCCTCACCCTGGGCTTAGCACACAGTAGGGACTTCATAAATGTTGGTTCATTGAATGTGGGAGCACTGAAAAATGATCAACAACTCTGTGTTGGGGCTGGCAAGAGATGTTTTACAGAGATGTTTGACCTAGGCCTGGAAACAAGAAGGTTATCTTGGGCAGCAAAAATGACATCACTTCTTCTGAAGCGGGGGGGATAAGGTGGGGGAAGGTGGGAGAAGGTGGAGAGAATTCCACTGGATGAATTTATGTTTCTCTATGAAAAAGGAGAGTTGTCATATGGGATGGGGAAGAGGCAAAGATTTGGAAAAGCCAACGTGGTGGGCTTCCCTGGTGGCGCAGTGGTTCAGAATCCGCCTGCCAATGCAGGGGACACGGGTTTGAGCCCTGGTCCGGGAAGATCCCACATGCCGCGGAGCAACTAAGCCCGTGCGCCACAACTACTGAGCCTGCACTCTACAACCCACGAGCCACTACTGAAGCCTTTGCGCCTCGAGCCCGTGCTCCGCAACAAGAGAAGCCACTGCAATGAGAAGCCCGCGCACCACAACGAAGAGCAGCCCCCACTCACCGCAACTAGAGAAAGCCTGCGCACAGCAACAAAGACCCAACTCAGCCAAAAATACATAAATAAATAGATAGATAAATAAAAAGCCAACGTGGGGAGGAGGAGGGGGTCCAGGGATAAATTAAACCATTGCTGGGCAGTGGTGAGGGCTCAGCTGAGGGTGGAGGAAATGATTTGTGCATTTGATCTTTGCAGAGACTCTGGTGGTTGGATTACAATAAGGATTGGGGATCCATCATTTCTTCAACAGGGAGAAAATGAACGGGGCAAGGGAGTGGAGGGCTCCCTAACACTGAGGAATGAACGCCATAAGCATTAGACAGTAGGCGGGAAGGCAAAAGAATGAGTTCTGTTTGGAGAGGGGGAGCTGGAACTTAAGATTTCAGGTGGACCAGTTGTGTGACCCTGGGAGTACATGGCTGAGGTGGAGAGAAGCTCATGGAGATGAGGATGTCAAGGAACTGAGGCCAGGATGGCCCTGAGGATGTTAAAGTCTCCCAGAATCCAGGGCGGCTGCGTGCGCCACGTGACAGCCCCCCATGATTGGCTGACAGTGAAGCATAGTTGAGAAGATGGAGACTCAGCGAGAACTTCAACGGAGTAGGTGTGTACACACAGCAGCATACAGTGTGCAGGAGGGCACTGAGGAGCAAGAGGAACGCGGACCCTTCCTCCCCCCTGGACAAAGACAGGCGATGTGGGAGGGGGAGAGAGTCTGGGTGGTGTGCAGAAGCGGGCTCCATCTCTGCACCAACAGGGGAGGAGAGACAGGGCTGTATTTCCAGAAGTAGCGCGCAGCTCCGGACAGTAACATGCTTCCTGACCCCTGAGCCCAGTGGCCTAATATGAATCAGAGGGAGTAGGCTAGAAGTTGGGCGCTCCTCTGAGTTTGGGGAACCGATGAGGGCTGAAGGCAGGGTAAAAATGGCGGAGGGGGGAAAGCTCGTCTTGACCGGTGAGGCAAGCCCGGGCGACGCAAGCCCGGGCCAGGCCCGTCAATGGCGTCGCGCGTCTCCCTGGCGACGCTACGCGTGGCCCGGAAGGGGGTGGAGCTTCTGGTGGGGCGGGGCATCTCTGTGACGCCAGGGGCTGGGCCTAAATGGCGACACCCGAGAGGCTCCCGGGGGGGTTTGAACTGGCCAATGGGCGACCTGCCGATCGCTTGTCGGAGAAGGAGGAGAAAGCGGGGAGGAGTCGCTGCCAGAGCTGGATTGAATCCGCCGCTGCGTCTCCATGGCAAGACCCTGGCCTCTGACTTCAACGACTTCATAAGGAAGCGTTTCTGGGCGCAGCCGTGTCGCTTCTGGTGAGAGGCCGCCGGCAGGCGGGAGCCAGGGCGCTCCGGGGCGTTCCGCGGCCGCCGCCGGGCCTGGTCCCCACGGGCGGGGTGGCCCCCGCCGAGGTCGCCGGGTCCCGCTGCCCCCCGGGCCGCCCCCGCCGGCACCCTCCGGCGCGCTCGTCCAGTTCCCGTCAGAATCTCGCCCCCCGCCCCGCCCACCGGCGCGGGCCTTCTCCTCCTCCCGCTAACGGGCGGGCCTTTCCTCACCTGGCCACCGGCAGGGTTCTGCTCCCTCCAGGCTTCGGCCTTCTCTCTATGGGCAGAAACTGGTCCCCTCCTGCCCGCTGGTGGGTGGTCGTCCCTTCTTTCCGCCGACAGAGACTGGCCCCGCGCCCTCTTGCCCGCCGGTGGGCGTCGCCCCGTCCGCCTCGCCCTCCCTGAGGGCCTCGGCCCGGCAGTTATTTGACGGCTTCTCGTAGGCAGCGCAGTCCCCGGGGACCGCCTCCGGGGCGCCCTACCCCGTTGGGTGGGTTCACCTGTCCAGCGGGCCTCCCGGTTCTCCCGCCGCGCTCCCTGCACGACCCGACGTCGAACCCGCTCTAACTCGGATACTAAATCTCAGCGGCCGCTGCTTCGCCCTGGAGGATTTTCCCTCTGCCGTCGGGGCACCCACTCGCTGCTTAGCGCCCCTTTCCCCCTGCAGCCTCCGCTCCTTCCTCCTTCAAATACTATTGGTCTTCTCGGGTGTCTATTTTGCCGGGAACGCCCTTCTCCTAGGAGACAGTTGCCCTGGCTCCGCCCCGACTATCCCTCCCGCTCCCTACGCCGGTTCCGGCCCTTTGGGGCCCACTTGGAGCTTAGCGGTTCTCTCCTGCCCTCTGCGCACGCGAGCCAGCATCTCAGGTTTTCCCCCTGGTGGCCACCCACCTTCCCTCCCGCGTGGGGCCTGGGTGTGGTGGTCCTTTACTTCGAAGTTCCGCCCCCTGGCCCTCCCTGGGGAGGGGAGCTCTCACCGCCCCGCCCACCGGGTCGCTCAGCCTCTCCTATCTCCCCCCACTTTGGCAGGACAGTCAGTTGCTGTGCGACTTGGACAGCAGAGGAGCACCTCCCAAGTTTTCATCCAACTGTCACCCCCAAAGCTTACACTCTCCTCCCCTCAGGACGTTTGATGCCCGGCCCCTGAGATTCTCACTGACACGCCCCTCTGGGTCCCCCTGAGCAGAGCCTGCTGACCCAATTGCCCACCTTTGCGGCTTTGATGCCTAACCATGTCTGCGTCATCCTCAGGCGGCTCCCCCAGGTACTGCCATTGTGGGGGGCGCCTCCGCCATAGGGCAGGGAAAAGCGGGCAGGGGCTCCCAGGCCAGGCTCACTGGAGGATTCTCTTTTCAGCTCTCTGTTCTGTGTACTGAAAGCCTGGACCAAAATGTTTAAAAATAATTTTTAAGAGGAAAGAGGAAAATGCACGCATGTAATCCCAGTTCTGCCTCCCTCTGGCCCTCCCTCCTCAGGTGCCCCAGTTCCTGGTAGCAAATAGGATCACCATCGTTGTCATTGGAGTACTAGGTTCAGATCCTTTTTGAAAGGAGGTTAGGTGTAAATAAATAACAACCACGTAAGAGGTGGACGCGGCAGTTAGTCAGATGTTGGTGGAATCCAGGTAGTTTGATGGAAAACCCGCTGAGGGTGAGAGCTTTCCCAAATCTATTGGCTTCAAGTAAACAGAAATGTTCTAAGTGAGGAGGGAAAAAAAAAAACCCATCTGCACAGATTTGGTATTCCTTGGCTAAATGATTAGTAGGACTCAAAAAATTTTTTTCTTTTATATCAAGGTGTGATATACATACAGCAAAATGTATGCTAAAGTGCTAAAGAATTTTTATGTTGCATTATTTTTTCCAAAATAATGGAGGGCGAGGGCAAGATCATATTTTGGGGGCTGTCATCAGGCAGTGGGATGGATCAAATGTACTTTCCAAGTCCCTTCCCGTCCTGGAATTCTTGGATTGACTGCTGCCAGATTTTGGAGATTAAACTTTTGCTTTATTTGCAGATTTGGTGATGGGGCTGTTTATGTATAAGATGAATTACACGTGGTATTAAAAAAAAATCCGTAAAAGCAAAAATAACCCTGCCTCTTAGGGGCTTAACGGGTAGCAAATGGAATATTTTGGGAAATGGTCATTTTTCATCCTCTTATTTGAATATTTGACTATTAATTTTATGAAACTGAGTCACAGAGACCTTGTTCCTGAGCTTATGCCTCTGTCTTTTCATGGCAGTCATTCACTGAGCATTGTTCCAGCCAGTGTCCTGGGCACTTTCGCCCTTGGCCAGACTAACATGTTGGCTGTTGCCCACATGCTGCCTGCTTTTTTTGTCTCCTGACAGACAGGATGACAGCTGGGCTTTTCAGTAAAAGGTCACAATACGTGTGATGCGATGGCAGGTTAAAAGGCCAGCCCTGCGAATGCCCATCACCCCCTGCTTCCATCCCCCTGCCAGGCACACCATGAGAGCTTGGTGCTTGTGTACAGGGAGCCAAATGATTCCACACTGGTTCTCCTAGCCGTGGACTTGTTAGACACCATATGTAGTATATAACTTCGGGAGATCTAAGAAATAGAAGAGCCCTAGTTTTCTGCTTATAATCTGCTTCTTATGCCTGGGTACAGGTTTCCATCGTGTGAGAAGAACAGAGTAACAAGTCTCAAGCAGAAAAAGGTCTTGAGGACACCTTGTGGCTCACCCAGTGTGACTGTGACGGTAGGTGACATGCGCGCGGAGCAGCCCCGTGGTCTGTGGCCCCGCCAGAAGAAACGCTTCTGCTGGTAGCCCGGTGGCCAGGTGCTCTGTCAGGTGCCTTCATGCATAGCCTGCTGATTGATTGGATTTGGTTTTGCCGGTGGCAAGGCTGCCGGGTGTGAGGAGGTTGTGTTAGCCTAATCCTTCCAGACAAACTTCAAAAATCTGAAAACAGAATTTCCAAAAAAAAAGGAAAAAAGAAAAAAGTAAAAAAAAAAAGAATGGGGATTGACAGGAGCTGGTGGTAGGCGAGGGGTATGTGTTCAGCCCTGCTTAAGTGGCCTTTAGAATCCATACAACCTTCTCATCTCGGCATTTCCTCCAGCTTTCTGTCTTCACCGTCTTTTAGCTACCTGCTGCTTGAAGTATTTTGCACCGTAACCGTTCTGTGCGTGCTAATCCGCATGCCCCATTCAGATTCCGGTGTAGGAGGACTCACCTGCTTTCCATCTGTGCTGCGCTGAATCTCAGGAGGAGCTGTGCATTCCAGCAGGCTCGGAAAGAGATGCAGCTCTGAGGACCCCGGGGCCTGGGTTTGGGCTCTTTTGTAGAACTTGTGGGTCTCACAGACCCTTCTCTTGAACGGACCTGCATCTCCCCGGTGGTCTTCAGCTGGGATCTCTGCAGGAGCCTGCTGAATGGCACGCCCGCCTTGCTTCCTGCCCGCATGCCAGTAGTGCTGGTTGCTGTCCTGCTCGCTTGGTGGCTAGGCTTTCAGTGGCCCCCAGAGGCTGTGAGCTCGGTTTTTCACGCCCAGTTTACTCATCCACAGATCAACCTTTTTTGTGTTGTCCTCCCCCACCTGCCAGAAGCGAACCATGAAGGACCGCTCTTCAACTCCCCCCTTACATGTTCACGTGGATGAGAACACCCCTGTCCATGTCCACATAAAAAAACTCCCGAAAGCATCAGCGACCAACAGCCAGGTAGGAGCATGCCAGGGGGGCAAGGCCAAGGCTGTGGAGCAAGGCGACACCTCCCAGCTGGGCCTCCTCACACTTCTAACTCCAGAGATTTGAGAGACAGACACATTTGCTTTCAGAGCTCAGTTGCCTGGTTGGAAGGTAGGACGGTCACCTGGAAGTGGCAGCAGTAGCCTTAGTCAGAAGCGGCTCCCCAGCAGAGTTGGAAGCAGATGCCACCAGAGTGATGCCACGGCCAGCTGTGTGGGGAAGTGACCCTGGGTTTGTCCCTTTCCACAGAAATCACATAAGCGCGGAATGAAAGGGGACACCGTGAATGTGCGGCGGAGTGTCCGGGTGAAAACCAAGGTACCTTGGATGCCCCCTGGAAAATCATCCACCCGGCATGTGGGATGCAAGTGGGAGGTAGGCTCATTCTCGTTCAGGCTTTTCTTCTCCAATTGGTCAGGTTCTAGCAGGCCTCATACTCTGTATGGTTCAGGGTCGGCGGGAGCTCTCAGAGACATCCCAGTAGGTCCCGCTTACTAAGCGCCTTGCTAAACCCTGAAAGTGTGGGAATCTTCTTGAGTCCTGCCAACACTGCAATGCGGTAGGTCCCGCTCTCCTAAGGTGCAGATGAGGAAACCAAGGCTCAGAGAGGTGAAGTCTCACAGAGAGAGTAGCAGAGGTGGAGTTAGGACTCAGGGGTGTCTCATTCTAGAGGCGGTACTCGTAGGCTCTCTGATTTGTATGTGAGGAGCTACATGTCTTGCCCCACGTAACTTTGCTAGTGCCAAAGCATAATTTTAAAATATATACCAGAACGTACATATCCAAGAAAGCATCTTCACTTTTACGGTCACCCCCATAAGAGACCGTGGACGTATTCCATAGATGTCATCAAAACCACTGGAATAATCTCCTGAGGAATAACTGCCTTCCGTGTGAGTTGCCAAGGTTCCAAGAGAACTGTTGTCTTTTTTTAGCCACACCTCAAAACGTTTTGCTTGTCCATCTATCCATCCGTGCAGTCATTCATGCATTTCTTGCGACACTGCTGCACACTGGGGTTACAGCTGCAAACTGGCAGCTGTGCCTTCCTTACGCTTACGTTCTAGTCAATTGCAGTGAAGAAACTCATTGACAAGACAAGGCCTGTGACTGTGTTTTAGACAAAGATCTTATTATTGAGACAAGTAAAGGGCTTGAGACTACAGTTGGCCCTCTGTATCCACGGGTTCCACATCTGTAGATTCAACCAACCACAGATTTAAGAAAAAAAAAAAAATCCATAAAGTTCCAAAAAGCAAAACTTGAATTTGCTGTGTGCCAGCAATTACTGACAAAGCATTTACATTGAATTAGGTATTATAAATAATCTAGAGCTAATTTAAAGTATACAGGAGGAGGTGCCTAGGTTATGTGCAAATATTACACCATTTTATACAAGGGACTTGAGCATCCTTTGATTTTGATATCCATGAGGGTCCTGGAACCAATCCCTGTGGAGACCAAGGGATGACTATACCTTAAGATGATGATGCCTGATATATATATATATATATATATATATATATGTATATATATATATATATATATATATATACACACACACACATATACATATATATATATATATATATATATATGTATGTATATATATATGTATTTTTTTTTGTGGTACGCGGGCCTCTCACTGCTGTGGCCTCTCCCGTTGTGGAGCACAGGCTCCGGACGCGCAGGCCCAGCGGCCATGGCTCACGGGCCCAGCCGCTCCGTGGCATGTGGGATCTTCCCGGACCGGGGCACGAACCCGTGTCCCCTGCATCGGCAGGCGGACTCTCAACAACTGCGCCACCAGGGAAGCCCCTGATCTATTTTGAAAGATTATCTTTCTGAGAACTTATTACTTTTAAAATTAGAAATAATAGTAATTACTCTGAAGTTTAGAGTCATACTTCACTCTCTTGACTCCCTGATTTACCATGTTATCCCTAAGAGACAAAGAGAGTTTGGTATTCTAGGGAATAAATGAAAGGTGTTCTGACATATCTCTCTATATAAAGTGCAAGGAAGACTGGAATTAAAATGCTTTTTAGATTTTTTTTACTATGTGTACCTCACTAATAATCAGTGAAATGTAAATTAGAAACAACTACATTTTAGATAAAACAAGCTATCATTTTTATTGAATGGAAAAAAGTTGAAAAGATTATGAATATCTTGTGTTGACAAGCATATGGGAGGTATCAACGAATCTTTTTTAGATGGTTTTTTGTTTGTGTTTTTTTTTTTGGCCGCGCAGCGTGGCATGTGGGATCTTAATTCCCCAACCAGGGATCGAACCTGTGCCCCCTGCAGTGGAAGTGCGGAGTCTTAACCACTGGACCACCAGGGAAGTCCCTGGACAGTATTTTTTTGTTGTTGTTTAATATATATTTTTAAAATTTATTTGTTTTATTTATTTATTTTTGGTTGTATTGGATCTTTGTTGCGGTACACGGGCTTCTCATTGCAGTGGCTTCTCTTGTTGCAGATCATGGGCTGTAGGCACACAGGCTTCAGTAGTTGTGGCGCACGGGTTTCAGTAGTTGTGGCTCGCGGGCTCTAGAGCACAGGCTCAGTAGTCGTGGCGCACAGGCTTCGTTGCTCCGCGGCATGTGGGATCTTCCTGGACCAGGGCTTGAACCCGTGTGCCCTGCATTGGCAGGCGGATTCTTAACCACTGCGCCACCAGGGAAGTCCCCCTGGACAGTTTTGAGTGGATTGTGAAACCGATTCAGCCGTTCTGCAGGCAGTTTGGCGGCATCCATCCAAACATGGATTCTATAGTTCTACACTTGGGAATTGATGCTAAAAGTCACAGAAGAGTACAGGGATCTGTGTGTGTATCAGGATGTTTACTAAAGCATTGTTTGCAATAGAGAAAAATTAGAAGCAACCTAAATGTCTGTCAGGAGGGTATTGGTTAAATTATGATGCATCCATACAATGGAATGCCATGCAACCACTAGAAGATTGAGGTAGATATTTCTACATGATAATGAAGCACCAAGTGGCACAGCACGGAAAGTTTGGCCCTATTTGTGCAGAAAAGTGCATCTGTGTGTCCATGTGTGTATGGATATGTTTATATGTGCAAACCTGTTTTGGGGAGGAAATATAAGAAGTGGTAAGCAGTGATTACCTCTGGGGTGGGAGGCTTTAATGCTTTATCTTTTCATGGTTTGCTTGAATTTCTTTATAACAAACATACTATATTTTATTTAAAATGCTTTTTTCTTTTCTTTTTTTTTAATGAAGAGACTTAGTAGTTCTCAAATTATATATCAAAGTCATGCCACTGTGGAAATGGACTTCCCCATGCCACTGTGGAAATGGGGTTCTAGGACTATGGTCCCCCCTGGAAAGCTCAGTGCCCCTTCCAGTCCTGGGGCCACAGAATTCTAGAAACGGAGGGGCCCAGAGATGTGACTTACCATCTCTCAAGCAGTAGCTGTCTTTCATGCTGTCCTCTTGGTTCAGCCCCTTTCCATTTTTCAGTGGCCTTCCATGTTCCTGGGAGGCCCCAGCCTGCCCTTACCATTATGGACAAGAGAGAAAAGACCACAGGAGGAAGAGTTTGTGGTGGAGCTGGACACGGACCCCGGAAGCTGCTATGTGCTTGTGGGGATTCATGTTTCTTTTCTTTCTTTTTAAATTAATTAATTAACTAATTTTTGGCTGTGTTGGGTCTTCGTTGCTAAACGTGGGCTTTCTCTAGTTGTGGCGAGCGGGGGCTACTCTTCGTTGTGGTGCATGGGCTTCTCATTGCGGTGACTTGTTGCGGAGCACGGGCTCTAGGCACGTGGGCTCAGTAGTTGTGGCTCGCGGGCTCTAGAGCGCAGGCTCAGTAGTTGTGGCGCACGGGCTTAGTTGCTCTGCGGCATGTGGGATCTTCCTGGAGCAGAGCTCGAACCCGTGTCCCCTGCATTGGCAGGCGGATTCTTAACCACTGCGCCACCAGGGAAGCCCCCGTGTTTCATTTTTAAAACCCCTCCTGGTACACAAGATAAGATCTTTGGGAGAAAGCAGGTCTGGGTTTTTTCTCTACCCTATTACTAATTAAGTCATCTATTTTTATGACAGAAAGCTGAAAATACAGAAAACTAGACAATCACTGTAATTCTACTACTCTAATCTGGCTGCTATTAAGTTTTAAAACCTTTTCATTGGAAAGTGCAGGATAGTATATGCATCAGAAGCGTGTTGATGAATTTTTACAAAGACCCAGCTCAAGAAACAACATCACCAGTCCTGTTCTTGTCACTGCCACCCTAAAACTATTAATATTTCGGTACATTTATTATCACTTTTTCCCATGCGGAGTTTTTTTTTTTCAAATTGTAATCATACTGTCTATACATTTTCCTATTGTCTTTCTTTTATATATTAAAATAACTCTTTTTCTTATAAAAGCAATGCACAGTCATTGTTGAAGATTAGAAAAAATTAGAAAATCTAAATCAGCATAAGGAAGAAAGTAAAAACCACCTGTAATTCCACCACCCTGAGAAGAGACCCATGTAACTTCTAGGTGCAAGACTTCTGGATCTTTTCTTGTGAATAGACGTGTTCTTTTGACTTTTGTAACAATGGGATTATATTTTACTTATTGTTGTAATGTTCTTTTTTCCACATATTTTGACTATGTTTATATCGCACATTATTTTTTAAGGCATTGTTCCATTGTGTGTACATTTGGGTACTGTTAAGTATTTAACCAACACTATCTTGCTGTACATTTATCTATACCCTAGCCTTGAATTTAAATATTAATTCACATTCTTAGATGTTCTTGATAAATTCCTCAAAAATAGAATTGCTGGGACAAAGGGCACATACATTTTTTAAATTGCACCCTATGAGTCCTACTTGTTTGACATAACAGTTTACACCCATATAAAACACTTCCTTTGGGAGGGGGAAGGGTAAGCTGGGATGAAGTGAGAGAGTGGCATGGACTTATATATACTACTGAATGTAAAATAGCTAGCTAGTGGGAAGCAGCCGCATAGCACAGGGAGATCAGCTCGGTGCTTTGTGACCACCTAGAGGGGTGGGATGGGGAGGGTGGGAGGGAGACGCAAGAGGGAGGAGATAGGTACATGTATAGCTGATTCACTTTGTTATAAAGCAGAAACTAACACACCATGGTAAAGCAGTTATACTGCAATAAAGATTTTTTAAAAATTAAAAAAATAAAACACTTCCTTTTATTCCTGATAGCCATCATCTTTCCCTGGAAATTAGCACAGAAGTTTAGCCACCTCAGCTTACGAGAAGGAAAAAACGGTGCAAACAATGAGAAATAGCAATTACTTAATACAATGGAATAAATGTATAGAATGAGAGAGTCAAATTCAATATATCAAAATCCCATGGAGGGACTTACCTGGTGGTGCAGTGGATAAGACTCTGCACTGTCAATGCAGGGGGGCTCGGTTCGATCCCTGGTCAGGGAACTAGATGCCACATGCATGCCGCAACTAAGAGTTCACATGCCACAACTCAGGAGCCTGTGAGCTGCAACTCAGGAGCCTGCCTGCCACAACTAAGGAGCCCGCCTGCTGCACCTAAGACCCGGTGCAACCAAATAAATAAGTTAATTAATTAAAAGACAGTTAAAAAAACAACAACAACAAAAAACATGGAGACACTTGCCCCCAGATTAGAATATCTTTTTGAAGTCTTGAAAGTATTATACAGCTTTGCATAAACTTCTCTGAGGGGGACATGCATTTTAAAAATTATTTTTTTAAGCTGATGTATTTAGGTAAATATTTTCTAGAAATACCATTTTAACCCTAAATAATTCAGTATGCATTTCTAATAACATTTTCTCCATAACCAAAATAACAGTGATTAGTCCTAAAAACTTCACTTCATTTTTTTTTAAACTTAATTTCTTAATCATATAACATCTGGTTAATATTTAAATTTCTCCACTTGTCCTTAAAATACCTGTTATAGAAGATTTGTTTGCCTTTGCAACTATCCACAATATTCAATGTATTCATACAATATCCAATGTATTCATATTCATTTAAAAGACTTTTGACATATTTCATGTCTACCCTAGGTGTATGAAAATATTTACTGCCCCCAACTTTTGCCAACTTTGGGAATCACAGTTTTTGCCAATTTGTTATATCCTTCATTTTAAACTTGACACTGGGGATGTCCCTGGTGGTGCAGTGGTTAAGAATCGACCTGCCAATTCAGGGAACACGGGTTTGAGCCCCGGTCTGGGAAGATCCAACATGCTGCGGAGCAACTAAGCCCGTGCGCCACAACTACTGAGCCTGCTCTCTAGAGCTTGCGAGCCACAGCTACTGAGCCCGTGTGCCGCAATTGCTGAAGCCCACGCGCCTAGAACCCGTGCTCCACAACAAGAGAAGCCACCGCAATGAAGAGTAGCCACTGCTCTTCGTTGCGGTGCGCAGGCTTCTCATTGCGGTGGCTTCTCTTGTTGCAGACCACGGGCTGTAGGCGTGCGGGCTTCAGTAGTTGTGTAACACACGCTTTTTATTTCTATGTTAGAAGAGCTTCAGAAACAACATTTAAACAAGGGTAGGGGGCTTCCCTGGTGACGCAGTGGTTGAGGGTCCGCCCGATGCAGGGGACACGGGTTTGTGCCCCGGTCCGGGAGGATCCCACATGCCGCGGAGCGGCTGGGCCCGTGAGCCGTGGCCACTGAGCCTGCGCATCCGGAGCCTGTGCTCCGCGGCAGGAGAGGCCACAGCAGTGAAAGGCCCGCATATCGCAAAAAAAAAAAAAGACAAAAAAAAAACAAACAAGGGTAGATAATGAGGCAGTGTTCCACCAAGAAGGTCGGTGTGCCCTTCCCCTTGGGGTCTCTGTGGTTTTGCCCTGTAGCAGTTTTAGCTCTTCCTGCTCAGCGGACAGCCCGGGATGGTGGGACCAATGGTTGCAGTTCTGCCTTATGACTTCATGTGTCTCTCCCTCCTCTACATCAGAATCCACCTCACTGCCTGGAGATCACACCACCATCTTCAGAAAAGCTGGTCTCAGTGATGCGGTTAAGTGACCTCTCTACCGAAGATGACGACTCGGGTCACTGTAAAATGAACCGTTATGATAAGAAGATTGACAGTCTAATGAACGCGGTTGGTTGTCTCAAGTCTGAGGTGAGGGAGGTAGGGGGCTGGGCTGGCCAGTGTCCCGAGGACACTTGGGACTGCCGGGTGAGTTCCTGGTGGACACCTCCTTCCAGCTGCCTCTGCAGGCCTCCCAGGGTTTCAGGTGCCCCTGGGGAGGTAGTCGGGGCAACCTGGGATCCCTTTCCATCAAGCACTTAGCCCAGGCCTGGCCCTGACCTTGCCTGGTGCTCTGTATGGATGGCCTGGTTTGATTTTTTACTACAGTAAACGAAGCCGGTGGTATTATTGTCCCTGTCTTGGAGATGTAGTGACTGGGACACTGGGACCTCTGTTTTCCATTTTATACAAAAGTTAAAAAAAAAAAACAGAAAACAATGCCCCAAACAGGCAGAGGAAGTTTGTCCCCAGTTGCTGGGCTGTGTCTTTGGGTGGGATGTGGCAATGAAATTGGAAACAACCTGGAAGTCCAAGGCCCCCAACTAATAAGTTGGTGGAGCTGCCGTGGAATCCTCGTTGCAGCTGCTGACGGGGCCTGTGTCTTTAGTCCTCCCCTGCGACTGGGGCCCAGGGCCCTCTTGGAGAACCTACGGCTGGTGGCTGCCTGGCAACAGGCCCACCTTTCTCCACAGCCCGAGGGGCAGGGGCCTTTTTGTGACATCTCTCCTCCCGTGGAGTGCCAGCTGAACAACCGTTTGTATCCTGGCTCTGTCCCCAACCGGAAAGTCACTCAGGCTCCCTTTGCTCCTTTTCCTCAGTGACGAGGAAATGAGAGGAATCGTGTCTGTCCAGAGTCTTTGTGACGATTGACTGAGCTTGCGCCCAAAGGACCTCAGTAGTATGGAGTGCTCAATCGGAGGTGCCCCTTGCTTTGTCCAAAGCAGCGGACCTTGAGATGCGGTGGAGAGGAGCTCCTCCCCTCAGTGGCCCCTGCCTGCATGCCCCTGCACAGGTCAAGACGCAGAAGGGAGAGCGCCAGATGGCCAAAAGATTCCTGGAGGAACGCAAGGAGGAGCTGGAGGAGGTGGCCCAAGAGCTGGCCGAGACCGAGCACGAGAACACGGTGCTGCGGCACAGCATCGAGCGCATCAAGGAGGAGAAGGACTTCACCATGTAAGGCGGCACTGCCCTGGGCACCTTCCCTCTTGTGGGGCTGCCCGAGCACCAGCCTAGCCCGGGTTACAGTGTTCAACAGAGTCACTAACGCGCTCATGATTCCTGGTCAGGGAAGAGGGCCCCGCAGAGTTCCGGGGGGAGGGCATCAGGGAGGCCTTTCTGGAAACAACGGGAGTCCGGCAGGATGGCCAGGTGCTAGGCAGGTGAGTGCGGGGGAGGAAAACACGCCAGGTAGCAGGAACATCTTGCAGGAAGGCCCCAGGGCGGGAGGAGTTTGAGACTAAGAAATGAAAAGCGGGGCAGAGCAAGGGGAGAGGGTGGGCCGAGGGGAAGGGGGGCCACGGAGGTTGGCAGGGGCCGGCTCTTGGTGGCCACTTCGGGGTGTTTGCATCGAGGGCGGTTGGGAGCCACAGAAGGGTTTTCGAAGCGGGAAGTGGTGTGACCAGATTTGGCTCCAATGGGGAGAATGGAGGGGAGGGCTCAAAAGTGGATCTGAAGATGGTAGTTAGGTGGCCATGGCAGTGGCTGGGGAACGAGGTGACACTGATTTCTGTCTGAGAGACAAGCAGGTGGCATAATGTCCCCCGGTGTGGAGGCCCTGCTCTGGTGACCAGGTGTCCTTCCAGAAGGCCACTCGGGCCAGAAGGGCCATCCCTGCCCCCTCCCCCACTGTTCCCTGACCAGGAGATGAGCCTCGCAGGGCATTGTGAGGTGAGCGTCGGAGCTCCAGGTGGGCAGGGGCCTAGGAGGGCTCACAGAGCCCTGTTCTTTCTGGGCCCAGGCTTCAGAAGAAACACCTCCAGCAGGAGAAGGAGTGCCTCATGTCCAAGCTGATGGAGGCTGAAATGGATGGGGCTGCTGCGGCCAAACAAGTCATGGCCCTGAAGGATACCATCGGGAAACTGAAGACGGTAGGTGGCCAGCCCAACCGCCCAGTGCCGGGGCCGGGCCCAGAGCGGGGGCAGCTGCACACCATGGCGGGGTCTTTCCGCAGTCTTCATGCTGACTTTATGACATCTTCAGGCCAGGGCAGGGCACACTTAACTCCTCGACCCCCACCCCTCTTCTCACTTCTGGGGCCTGACCTTCGAGGCTGACCTTTGGTAGCCAGGGCCTCTGAGATGTCATTGTGGGTCTCCTGGGATCACAGTGAGTCAAGGCACGTGTCTGATTCCTGCCAGTATCAGCCACCAAATGTTGTCGTCCAGGAAGCGCACCTCGTCCAAGAAGCCCGCCCTAACTGCACTCGCCCACACTGAACTCTCCTGCCCTTTTCCCCACCTGGTGTTCTCAGCAGGCTCAGAACCTGCCCATCCTTCCAGGTCTGCCTCCTCCGGGAAGCCTGCCTTTGCCCAGCTCTTCTTGCCTGGGCTGCCTGGCACCAATACCTCTTAAGCTCCCCATGGGGACTCCCTGTGCCAGCTCTTCCCTTCTCCACCCGTGCCTGGCAAGACTGCCTGCTGTCTTCCAGGAGAAACAAATGACCTGCACGGACATCAACACCCTAACGAGGCAGAAGGAACTTCTCCTGCAGAAGCTGAGCACATTTGAGGAGACCAACCGCACCCTCCGAGAACTGCTAAGGGAACAGCACTGCAAAGAGGTGAGCTGCGGTCCTAGCCGCACCCCTACACAGTGCTCACTCGGAGCCATGGCCCTGTAGCACCGCAGGCTCCTGTCTGTAAAAAGAAAATATTCTTGGTGCCTGCCTGACCTGAGGGGGCCATAGAAAGATTTGCTGAAATCATTCATGTGAAATGCTGGGCATCTGGTAGACGAGTGCTGTCTTCGTTGTTGAAGTGGGCCTGGTGGCACAGGAAGGACCTTGAAAGTCAGAAGAGCAGTGGAGAGTCAGGCAGGGGTTCAGCCCATCCCAGGGGTCATGCGACAAAGCGGGGAGAAGACCAGACCTGAGTTTTGGTGAAGCAGGCGGCTTAATGGCTGGCGGACACATTGTATGGTATCAGTTTGTTTTCTTAAAAGGTGGTCTCTGAAATATATTTTATGTTAGCAAATGACTCTGAAAAGACTGACAGTATAAACAGCTCTCTTCCTGTTTGGTTCTAAACCAAAGGGATACCGAGAGTCTCAAAATGCCCATGCTGGGACTTCCCTGGCGGTCTAGTGGTTAGGACTCGGCGCTTCCACTGCCGTGGGCGCGGGTTCGATCCCTGGCTGGGGAACTAAGATCCTGCAAGCCTCGAGACGCAGTCAAAAAAAAAAAAAAAAGCCCGTCCTGATGAGATATTTTTTTTAGTTTAACTTTTTTAAAAAAACAGTGTCAACTTCCTTTGTTTGTAGTTTAAAAATTAATATTTAAAATAAGTAAAAGTGTACCCACTATCCAGCTTTCCAAACAAAACCTTGTCTACATGGTTAAATCCCTCTTGGTGTCTCCTTTGGCAGTAACCTCATCTTCCCATCAGAGGGAAACTTTATCTGGAATCTGAGAGTTTTTCACTTATATATGTATCCCTAAGAAACATATAGTATTGTTTAGCATGTTTTCAAACTTTACATAAATGATATTGTTCCATATGTTTTCTTCTGAGTTGGCTTTTTTCAATCAATGTTTTTATGAGATCCATTTTTATCCTTGAAACCTAAGGTAGTTCATTTTCACTGCTCTATTCCATTTTATGACAATACCACAACTTATTTACCCACTCTTCTGTTGATGGAGACAATTTTTGGTTGTTTGCTCTTTCAAGTGTTACTTTGCGCATTCGTCTGTACTATCCTGGTGTACTTGAGGGTTTCCAGAATATATTTCTATGAATGTTACTAGTTATAGCTAAATTATTCTCTTAAAATAGTTTTATCTGTTTCATTTCCAGCTCAGTGTTCATGGGTGGGTGATTTTTACCTTTCTGGGCTTCAGTTTTCCCACCTATAAAATGGGAATAGCATCTTCCATGTGGGGTTGTGAGGGACTTAGAAGTGATGTGTGGACGAGGACTGTGCGTACTCCTGGCATGCAGTGGGTACTTGGTAAATGGTGGCTGTCGCTGCTGTTTGTCCTGGGACTGGGGGCGGTGGGGGGGACGGGGCTTCAGAAAACGTCTTCCTACCAGTTTTTTCCCTTTTCACCTTCTTAGCGCCTACAATCCGGGAATCCCGGAATCCCAGAATCTCCAGTTGGAGGTGAAGGGTCAGCTAATTTAAACTCCCACCACAGCAGGCGTTCCAGGTTCTGTACAGGCTCTCGCCTCCTCCCGCCCATGTGGCCCTCAGGACCACAGCCCTGCCGCGGTGCTTACTGGGGAGTACTCAGTGTGCTGGGGGAATGCTCTGGCTCTGGAGTCCTTTGGCTTAGCGCCCAGCTCTGCCATCTCTGGCTGTGTGATCTCAGGCAGCTCACCTCACTTCTCCCAGCCTCGATCTCCTCGTCTGTGAAATGGGGGTGGTGATAGTGCCTGGCTCCTTAGAGCAGGGGATTTGGTGAGATGGTGTGTTAGTTTGTGTAGAGTCCCCTGGAGGCTCAGAGGGCATGGCCTGTCGGGGCAGTGAGAATAGCTTCAGGCTCTGGGTCCCTGGCCTAGGTTTTCGTCCTACGTTCTTTGCCTCCTCTTGTTGCTAGAGAACCCATAATGCTGTCTTCCCCCAGTTCCTAGGTTCCTGGGAAACTTTGGGACCAGGGAGTCCTTTTCTCTTAGCCTGCGAAGGTGACCTGTGGGACTGAAAGGGAAAGGGGGGTGAGACTTCTTCTAGGGACACTTTATTTAGGTGACTGCGAAGAATAGAGACAGTTCAAAGACACAGCCCTGTGCGAGAGTGGGCAAAGGTGTGAGCAGGCAGTCCAGGGAAGAGGAAGCTTAAATGGTTAATAAGCATATGCATAAATAGGGAAATGCAAACTAAAACAGCAGGATTCATGCTGGCAAGACTGGCAACAGGCAGAGGCTGGCTACTGCCCGGCGTTCTCACGTCCTGTTTGTGTGCGTCAGTGCAGGCATTTTGCAGGGCATGTCACCTGCCACAAATCACAGATCTTCGGGCCCAGCCATTCTTACTCTTTGTATCAATCCTGGAGAGACACTTAGTACGTGCCCAACATGTCCACTGCTGCTGTGTTTACAGCTGCAAAGCCTGGGAACCACCTTATTGCCCAAAGGTTACGGGGAGAAGTTAAAAAATGCCACGGCATATTAGAGACAGAAAGCAGATTAGGGGTTGGGGATTTCCCTGGCGGTCCAGTGGTTAGGACTCAGTGCTTTCACTGCTGGAGCCTGGGTTCAATCCCTGGTCCCGGAACTAAGATCCTGCAAGCCATGTGGTGCGCCCGCCCCCTAAAAAAGAAAGCAGATTAGGGGTTTGGGGGGAGTTGGGGGGAGGGGAAAATGGAGACTGACGGCTTGACAGGTGCAGGTTTCCTTTTAGGGTGATGAAAAAATTCTGGAACTAGATGGTAATGCTGGTTACACAATATTGGAAATGTACCATATGCCACTGAATTTTACACTTAAAATGAAAAAGTTTGTTATATTTTACCACAATTAAAAAAATTATAATGTAATATACCACAAACCATTGAATTATACATTTCAAATTGGTGACTTGTATCTGAATTTATATCTCAATAAAACTGTGGTTGAAAAATCCAGTTGTGACACAAAAATACAGTATGATATCATTTTGGTAAAATTACACATTAATCCCTTCCCACCCCTCATCCCCCAAAAGATACTTCTCTAGGTGTAGCTACGTATAAATGCATAGAGAAAGGATGGGCAGGACAGTCCGAACTCATAACAGCAGGGCTGGATTTGGAGGTAGGGATGAGGGGGACTTTATCGGTTTTCATTAAATATTTTATAATGAGAATATAATTTACTACTTCTATCATTAGAAGTATAATTTTTAGAAAAGGAACAGGACCTAGAGGATGTAGACATGTCAGTTTATTGCTTAATGAGTTGGCTTTCCCTGCCTTCCCTTGAAGGATTCCGAAAAGTTGATGGAGCAACAAGGAACATTATTGAAACGGCTGGCAGAGGCGGACTCCGAGAAAGCGGTAACACACAGCTCCCCCTGCCTGCTCCAGGGGGTATAGGCGACGGCGTAGAGGTGCTGAGTGGCAGCAGGAGGGCTGGAGCCCCGCTCTGACTTTTCTTTGGGTCTTAGTTTCATGATCTGTGAAATCATGAAACACATATCCCCGTCCCTCCTGCCCCACCGGGCTTGTCTAGTCAATCACTCGAGAGCTTGAACCACCAAGCTGGACATCAGCATGAGGGATGGTGATGACGGTGATGGATTTGTAAATCGTCAGAGTCTGTTCCCTGAATTTCCGTATTTGTATTATGGTACAGACTTGTTGACTCAACAATTCCAATCCTCCCAAGGAATCTCTCCCAAGGCAGCATGTTCCAAAGTCTGTTCCATAGAACCCTGAGTTCCTCAAGGTGTTAATGGGTACAAGAAACAAAAGGGGGGGTTGATCCATGGCCAAATAAATTTGGGGAACTGCTGCCCAGCCTGAATGACAAGTTAAACCAGCTGCTTAACTACAATACCTTTTGGAGCCTTTCATGTATTAATGCCTGTTGGGAGTCTCCAAGAGAAAGAAAGAAATAGAGACCATGGTTCCCGAGGTTTGGCCCTTGGCCCTCGGTGCCTGGCCGAACATCGCTGTAGGGGATTCAACGGTCATGGTGATAATGCCTAAACCTGCATTCCCAGCTCGAGAGCCTTATCAAATTATGATACATCCGTAAATTGAAATGTTAAGGTGCTTTTTCAAAAGATATAGAAGATTTAATCACAAGAAAATTTTATGGTAAATGTGGTTATAGTGCAAAATAGGTATCTGACTTTTTAATGTGTGCTAACAATGGTGATCTCTGGGTGGGGGATTATGGGGCTTCCTTAGTGTTTTGTGAGTCTGTGTTTCAGTGTGTCCCACAACTAGCATTATTTTAAATTGTTGTAAAAAATTGTGATACAGATGCTGGGTGCTTCCTGCTAGGGTCTCTGTGACTTGGGCCAATGTATTTGGGACTTGGGCCCAGTGACCAGGCACTCACAGGAGTGTTTGTCCTCCCTGGGCGGGGCCTCCTCACCCTTCGCAGGGAGCTCAGACAGTGTGTGTGTGCCCTCTCCAGCGCCTGCTATTACTGCTGCAAGACAAAGACAAGGAGGTGGAAGAGCTCCTCCAGGAAATACAATGTGAGAAGGTACCGTTCCCAGCAGTTGCTCCTCTATATGGGCCAGCAGAGCTTAGTGGGTAGAGTGCGCTCTGGAACCAGAGAGCTGGGTTCAAACCCCGGCTCTGCCACTTTCTCTGTCTCTCCAAAGGCTCAAGCGAAGACAGCATCTGAGCTTTCGAAGTCCATGGAGACCATGCGTGGGCATTTGCAGGCACAGCTTCGGTGCAAAGAGGCAGAGAACAGTCGCCTCTGCATGCAGATCAAGGTACCTGCCAGCCCCACAAGTGGGGAAGGGAGGGGGCGGGGCCTGGCATTCGAAGGGCAGTGACCTGGCCAAGGCTCTCACACTCAGGAAGGCTTTGCCCTAAAGGTGTACAGGGCCGCTGTTGCCAAAGCACTCTGAGCCAGTGGCAAGAGCAGTGGACCCTGAGGGTCTTGGGTGCCCTTCCCAGCGGTGACCAATTGGGTGCCATGCCCCTGAGCCAATCACTTAATCCCTTAGGCCTTTAGTTCTCATAACTACCCATGGGGTAGGGGGTGGGCTCCGATGCAGCTTGCATCTTTGAGCCAGGGACCTGCTGAGGTCACAGCTCTGCTGAGGGACTGAGGAATATCTCTGACCACTATGCTGAGTTCAAGGAAGGATTCCAGAAGAGCTCTATCTTCACACTAAGACCCCAGTGGGTTCAGTAATGGGAGGGGTGCTACGGAGAGCTGGGAAGGGCCTCCACCTCTGCTCTGCACTGTGGGAGCTTTATGCCTCCACACAGTTGACCTGAGTTCTCTCTCCCTCATTCCTTCTTTTTGCTCATCCCCTCTCACCTCTACTCTCTGCCTTGCCCCTTCCCGGCCTTCCTTGTCCCTCTCCCCGCACCTGCTCCCGGGCCGTCCTCTCCCAGAACCTGGAGCGCAGCGGAAACCAGCATAAGGTGGAAGTGGAGGCCATCATGGAGCAGCTGAAGGAACTGAAGCAGAAGGGAGAACGAGACAAAGAGTCCTTGAAGAGGGCCATCCGAGCCCAGAAAGAACGAGCTGAGAAGAGTGAGGAGTACGCTGAGCAGCTGCACGTGCAGCTTGCTGACAAGGTAGCAGGCCTCCCCGAGAAGGGCTGGCCGACGGTGAAGGGTCGGGGGTGGGTTGGCTGCCAGCGAATGGCTGCTTTGAGCAGGGAGAGGTGAAAAGCTGAGTAGAGGTGGCCGGGCGGGTGGGCGAACGGAGAGGAAGATGGCAGTGGAAAAGGGTGAATGAGCTGGGAGGACTGCTGGCTGCTGGGTGGAGGGAGAGGCGGGGGGGCAGTAAATGGGTAAAAGGATGACGATGGGGGTGGGCAGCTGGCTGGAGACAAGTGGAGGGTTTGTGGGACATTTTAACCACATCCATATTGTGGGTGGGAATGACAGTTAAGGAAGGATTTGCAGTCAGGGCGCGTGGGATGCTGGAAACTGAAAAGCAACAGCTGGGCTCCCACTTCACTCTCAGTGCTTCTAGGAAGGAATTTCAGGAGTGAGGTTGAAGTTATCAGGGTGAGGGGTGACCTGGGGTGACTCCCAGCTCGCTTGGCTTCAGCGGTGACACCAGGCTGATGGACCCTTCTGTCCCATGTTCCCAGGATCTTTATGTTGCTGAAGCTTTATCCACTCTGGAATCATGGAGGAGCCGCTACAACCAAGTTGTGAAAGACAAGGGGGACCTCGAGCTGGAAATTATTGTCCTGAACGAGTACGTCTGTGTTAGGAGAGGGCGTGTGGGCCAATGGGAGGAGGGGGTGTGCCAGTGCACGGCGCCAGGCAACCCGCGACAGCTCACGTCGCTCACACAGCTGCCATCTGGTCTCCTCTTGTCAGGGACTGCATCGGACTGAGCTGTGGGCGGCCCTGGGGTGGGCCTTCTGGTTGGACCCTGGGTCCTGGTGCCAGCCCCCGCCCCAGCATCCTACCCCCCGGCAGGCACTATGCAGGGGCCTTCTCTGCTCATACCTGGGCTTGAGCTGGGCCCCAGTCTGCACGGCATGGGAAATGGGCACAGGCACTCAGGAAGGTATCCTCCTTCCTGTCCTTGGGGCACAGGGCAGCTGGTAATCCCTCTGTCTTCTCTCAGTCGTTTTGTCCACCAGTCAGTAGGTCAGAGGAATGGCCTGGGAGTAGGGGGCAAAAGTGGCCTCAAGTTGAGGGTGACTGAACTCATACCTTTCTTGCCACTGGTGAACTGTCAACAGTGACCATTCTGAGAGTCAGCTATAGTCATGTGATCATTCATTTAAAGATACTTATCGAGCATACTATATAACAGGCTATGTGTTGGCCTTGAAGGTTACAGCAGTAAAAAAACAAATGCATTGGACTTCCCTGGTGGCACAGTGGTTATGAATCCACCTGCCAATGCTGGGGACATGGGTTCGAGCCCTGGTCCGGGAAGATCCCGCATGCCGTGGAGCAACTAAACCCGTGTGCCACAACTACTGAACCTGCGCTCTAGAGCCCGCGAGCCACAGCTACTGAGCCCGCGTGCCGCAACTACTGAAGCCCGCTCACCTAGAGCCCGTGCTCTGAAACAAGAGAAGCCACCGCAATGAGAAGCCTGCGCACCTCGACGAAGAGTAGCCCCCACTCGCCGCAACTAGAGAAAGCCCGTGTGCAGCAATGAAGACCCAACGCAGCCAAAAATAAATAAATGAAATAAATAAATTTAAAAAATTAAAAACTAAAAAATAAAGTTGCGTAGGAGTTTGCCAGTAAACCAATACAAGGCGTTTCCTTGGGCCTAGTCAGTACTCACTAAATATTTGCTGAGTGGTGAACTGTAATTTATCAATACTGAAAACATACACTGTGCAAAGGTTCTGCAGTATCAGGTGGGTCTACAGTCAAAAGCCCCAGTGCTCTTCTCCTCAGTCTCTATTCTTGGATTATAGCCCTGCTGAGGGCCTGCGGGTAGGGGAAGGGAGCAAGGGAAGCTTGTGCCTTGTTATTGCTCATGGCACCTGCCCTCGACTGGAGGAGACAGAACCCCAGTGGAATATGTGTCTGAGAGAGACGGGTGCCTGGGGTTATCCCCGACCACTGGGCCTGCGAGTTCTGTCCTAACTTCAGTTCCTAACGGGTTAAGAGATCCAGGGGGTGCCGTGGGGAGCTGGGGAGGGACTGTGTCTCTGGACTTTGTCTTCAGGGAGTGTCTCAGCCTCACGGGAGGATCACAACAGAGAAGGCTTCTTGGAGGGGGTGGTATGAGAGACAAACCTTAAAAGGCTGTTAATACCAAGTGGGATACCTGGGAATGCCACAGGCGGCAGTGGCAGGGCAGCTGCTCCTCAGGGTGGAGACTGGAGAGCAGGCAGGTGCCAAGAAGAGAGACATGGGTGACCTGGGTAGGAACACTTGGCCCTACTCCATACCAAGTCCAGGGCTGCTCCCAACCTGTGGAATTGATTCTGTCTGCTTTCACTTTGTGACCTTCCAGCCGGGTGACAGATCTTGTAAACCAACAACAAACCTTGGAGGAGAAGATGCGGGAAGACCGGGACAGCCTGGTGGAGAGACTACACCGGCAGACTGCCGAGTACTCCGCATTCAAGCTAGAGAATGAGAGGCTGAAGGTCGGTAGTGAGAGCCGGGACCAGGACGGTTGGGTGGAGAGCAGAGGCTGATGGTACTCCTGGTTGGGCCCCAGAGATGACCACCGGGGCCTTCAGAGGGCCTGGAGGCAGCAGCGTGATAAGAGGGCTTGTTCTGGAGTCGGAAAGACCTGGATTCAAGTCCTGACTCTGCCTCTTAGAGCTGCAGGACCTGAACGGGACGTTTCCTCCTGTGTTGCTGCAGTTTCCTCAACGGGAGGAAATGAGGTCCTTGTGAGAAGGTGGTGATGCATGTGAAGTGCTTAGCATGACAGTCAGCCCCTGCACGTGAGATGGACCTGACTTTGAGGTTAACATTGACTCTTCTGGGGCACTACTGGGCCCCTTCACATGCATTAATTCTCACTTTAGCCTCCCAATAGTGTAATTATTATCTCTACTTTACAGAATAAGGAAACTGAAGCTTAGAGTTTAAGTTTCTTGCCAAGATTTTGCCCTTGGAAGCGTTGGAGTTGGGATTTGAACCTCAGTCTGACCCTGGGGCTCTAACCACTAGCTCTTAACCACTCCCTCTACACCCTCCCAGCACACCGAGGGCGAGAGGCAACCGAAAAGAGGTAGATGTTGCAGAGCCAGGTTGGATCTTGGTTTTTAGTTGATCTGGGCAATAACATCTAGATCTATTTATTTATTTATTTATTTATTACTGACTTTTTTTAAGTAAAATTGATTTTAAGGAAGTATAATACAGAAAGGTACACAAAATGAATGTAACTTTGTCCATCAGTCACCCTGATTGAACCTTAAAGCCAGCACCCCGGTGACCTTGCCTAGTTACAGACACCCCCTGCCAAGGGCACGGTTATCCTGACTTCTGTCACCGCAGATTAGTTTGCCTGGTTTTGAACTTTGTGCCTGGCCTTTATGGCTTTTAGTCAGCATTATGTTTGTGGAAGTTACCCATGTCATGTGTGGCAGTTCATCATTCTCAGTGCAGTGCAGTGTATGAATGTACCACGATGTGTTTATCCATTTTCCTGTCAGTGGACATTTGGGTTGTAGAACATCTTTGTACCTCTTTTGGTGCATATATTTGGTGTATTTTTACAGTTTCTATACCTTGAAGTATAATAGAAATGCCAAGTCATCAGGTGGTGTACACAAATTCAGCTGTGGTAGATGTCACCAAATAGTAAAGCGGTTGTACAGATTTCCGCTCCCATCAGGGATATGTGAGATAATACTTGGTATTGTCCATCTTCTTCATTTTAGCCACTCTGGTGGGAGGATAGTAGTATCTCATTTCTTGTAGTGCAATTGTTGGATAAATGACAGATAAGCCCCGTGTCTAACAATTAGCTGGGGTATTGGTTGCAGTATGGTATGTCTGTGTGGTGAAACACAGTGTGACTGTTCAAAATGATTGTAGAAGTGTATTTTCCTAGCTGTTATCATTACAAAGATAAAATATGCTCATAGTGAAAGTTGAAAACATCACAGAAACGTTATATAGAAGTGAAGGTCCCTGTTACCGTAGATGTGTATTTTTCCAGTTTTTTCCCCTGATACTCACATACACATTCAAACACATTCACATCCATTCATCCAGCCATTATTCTGCAGCTCGCTTTTCTCCTTCAACCATATTCCGTGGATATCTTTTTAGATTTTTTTTTTTGCTTTATCTCTTTTAAATGATTGCTTGTTATTTTTTTGAGATACCGTGATTTATTTTGTCCCATCTGCTAAGGTGAGCATTTGGGTTGTAGGAGAACATTCATTGATGAGAGAAGTAGTTCCCAACTTACTTGTTAATTGAAAAAGTTCGTTGCAAGGCAGTAAGTATATCATAATCCCATTCTTATTGGAAAAAATAAAATAGCTACACGGTTGTCAATATATAGCCATATAATAAGGCATCATGATTCATTTTTCTTGGTTTTATCTCCCTTTTCTTTAGTGATAATGTAGTGCTCTTTTTTTTTTTTTTTGGCCAAGCCGCAAGGCTTGTGGGATCTTAGTTCCCTAACCAGGGATTGGACCCGGGCCCCTGGCAGTGAAAGTGCTGAACTGAGTCCTAACCACTGAACCGCCAGGGAATTCCCCCATAATGTACTGCTTTTTGTAATAAGAACAAAAAACACAGGAGTCTCTTATTTGCATCTGTATGCACTTGAGTTGGTCTTATCAGGAATCCTGCCCTGGTGCCTCTCTGAGGAAAACTGCTGGTGTGGGTTTGAGTAGGTGGGGCTTCCCTTTGCTGGCCCCTCGGAGTAGGAGCTGGGGTTGGGATGGCCACCTGCCCCGGAACCTTCCCGCTGGTGACCGACGAGCCATCCCTTCTAGGCTAGCTTCACCCCTATGGAGGAGAAACTCAGCCAGGCGCACGTCGAGGTTCAGCAACTGAAGGCATCGGTTAAGAACTACGAGGGAATGATTGACAACTATAAGAGTCAGGTAGGCCTCTCAGGTGCCAAGCCTGCCAGGGCAGCGCCTCCCAGCAGGCTGGGATGGAGACTTACCATAAGGCCTCTCCTGGGAAGGTGTTTTTCACCAAAACTTGGCTCTGCCCAAGATGGCCCAATGCTTTCTTGGTCCCCAGGTGATGAAGACCAGGCTGGAGGCTGATGAAGTGGCTGCCCAGCTGGAACGCTGTGACAAAGAGAACAAGATCCTTAAAGATGAGATGAACAAAGAGATTGAAACGGTATTGTTCCCCTTCCTCGCTCTCTTCCCCTACCCAGTCCCATGTCTGTCAGTCTGTCCGTCTTGTTTGTCATTGGCCCTTTCCGATGTGGATGACAGAGATTCATGAAGGTTCTTATTGCTGGGCTGGTCCACTCTACTGTGTACGTACTCTCTCCTTCCTCGTCTCATCTCTTCCTTCTCTCCTGCTTCCTCATTATCCCTCTTTCTCATCCTGATTACCTTCTTTCTTCACTTTCCTTAAAAAAAAGTTCCCCTGCTTGGAACATCCAAGTGGATTCAAATCCACAGATCTGTCAGGCCTTAGCTGTGCCTATTTCATTCTGTGTGGTGTCTTTATTTTGTGCCAACCGAAAGTGTTCCTCCTGTCCCCTTCCCCAAAGAGCCTTATTCTTCTAGAGATGACTTGTCTCTCTAGAAGCAAAGGGGTCATCTTAATAGTAACCTTGGAGATGGATTGAGTCCAGGCTCAGCCATTAACTTGTTGCATAACCTTGGGCAAGTCACTGCCTCTCTCTAGTCCTCAGGCTCCTCGTTAATACAAGGATGCACTAAGCCCAGATAGGCCGTAGCTTTCCCTCTGACCTAGAGCATTGTGATTGCCTTCCCAGGGGCTTTGAGGTTAGACTAGACTTGAATCCTGCCTCTGCCAATTTGTAGCTGAGTGACCACGGGCAAATGATCCTTTGATCCTCAGCGTCCTTATATGGGGATAACGGCACCTACTTAATAGGTTGTTGTATGAATTTAATGAGTAATGCCTGGGTCCTGGAGTTTGCTACATGGTTGCCATTATTCTTCAATGACTGAAGGAGTGGCAGGCTCAAGTGGCCAGTCAGGGCCAAGTGTGTCCCCCCAGAGATCAGCTAGACACCCTCAGTGGCCTGCAGGGAGGCCGCACTTCTGCCCGTGGATCTTTCAGGATCCTTTCTGGGGACTAAGGGCGGCCCTGCCCTAAATCCAAAGCACTCTGCCTGGCCTCTTCAACAGTCAGGCCCTTCCCAACGGTGGGCCCCTCTCTCCCACTCCAGGCGCGGAGGCAGTTCCAGTCCCAGCTGGCTGACCTGCAGCAGCTGCCTGATATTCTCAAGATCACGGAGGCTAAGCTGGCAGAGTGCCAAGACCAGCTGCAGGGCTATGAGAGGAAGAATATCGACCTCACAGCCATCATATCAGACCTGCGCAGCCGGGTAAGGGACTGGCAGAAAGGTTCCCACGAACTAGCCCGAGCAGGGGCCCGCTTATCAAGATGAGCTGCACGCCCCCCGGCCCCCAGGGAGGACCACTTCCTTTTTCTTGGCTGCCGCTTTCTCAGAGGAGTGAGCTATCATCAGTGCTGTGAAATAAAAGTCTGGTGTGCCAAATGCCTTGTGTTTGCACAATGTGATTGTAGTTATAGGAGCCGCCACTCGATTGGAGCTGCCGGGCCCTCCTGCTCTTGCCCCTCCCCAAGGGTTCCAAGGCTCCGCCAGCCTCTGCCCTTCCCGCTCCGCTGCTGCCCTCAGCCATGCGCCACCAGCAGACACCAAGCCATAGGTTTTCTTTTTTTCCATCTTTCTCTTGCTTTAGCTGCCTTTCCGTAGTCCTAACAGACCCCTTGCCTGAGCTAGGGGTCCTGAAAGAGGACTTCCTTTCTACCAGAAGCAGTCTGCCTCTGGGTTACTGGAACCAAGCCTACGGTGTCTAAGAAATGCTATGCCTCTCGTCTGCACTGTGACCTTGGGCAAGACCCTTCCCCTCTCTTAACCTGCTTCCTTGTAGTACCAGTGAAAGTAGCTACCATTGTTTGAGCACGTGCTTGGTGCTCCAGCATTCCCTCATTGAATTCTCCCGGGAACTTTGTAAGGGGTCTTATTTTCCCCATTTTACAGAAAGCAGCCCAGGGCATAGAGGGGAGAAGTCATTGCCTGAGGTCACAGAGCTAATACTTGTCAACAGGGATTGGAACCCAGCCAGCTCTGTCTGGTTCCCAAGCCCAGGTTCTCAGCACTCTTAAATCACCAGGCTTCTCTTGAACCCGAGCATTCTCAGGGCCTTTCAGGCCCAGACGTCTGAGGCTTCTGCAGAAAGCAGCCTTCTGGATAACTTCTCAAACTTGCCAGCCTGAAGGACTCAGTAGATTTCCTGTGGCCTTGCCTGCATTTGTCCCCATTTAAGAAGAATGAACTCAGCGGTCCCAACTACATCCTCGGTAAAGCTCCGTGGTGTGTCATGTGGGCCAGTTAGGCCTGCCGTCTGCTTCTGCCTTCTCACGTCCGCCCAGATCCCACTGACTGGCCTCTCCTGATCAAGGAAGTGTCGTCGTGGCTCTTCAGGATCGAAGCTGGCTTCTCTCGGCGCAGGAAAGCCTTCAGTCTCGGGGGTCGGGCCTAACCTGTCCCCGCTCTCCCCTCTCCTCCAGGTTGTGCGTTGAGACTCAGATGCCTGCTGAGGGCAGTGTGCCTCTCTCCTGGGTGTGGATGACAGGTCACAGGGAGAAGGGAGGGCTGTACCGGGAAGTTCTTTCGTAAACCAGTCTGTGTTCCTGTCATTTTAGATCGAACATCAGGGGGACAAGCTGGAGATGGCAAGAGAGAAACATCAGGCTTCCCAGAAGGAAAATAAACAGCTGAGTCTGAAGGTGGATGAACTGGAGAGGTTAGAGGCACTTGGTCCCATCTCTGTCCTCTTCCTAGGACCTGAGACTTTCAGCCACTTAGCTGCTTTGGGCCTAGTGTGCAGAAGTATTTGAGGGACTCAAGGCCCTGGAAGGTACTAGGCAGACCTTAGAGGAAAAGCTGCTTCCATTGCAGTGGTAGGCATTGTGGGAGAGAGGAAGGCGTTCTCCGGCCAGGGGGGACGCTCCATAGCAGTGTGATCAAGGTCAGACCATCCATAGGCATCACCTATCAGAAAGGCACGCTTCGTCCAAGCAAACGGGCAGGGCCAGGACGCTGCGGTGGGGGCCTCCCCCCATTCTGCTCTTTGTTCCCGATCGTCCTTCCCAAGACCTTTCTGATCTGTTCTTCCCTGTTCCTCATGGACTGTTGGAAGCAGTCGGGTAAAGAGGACACATTTTGGAATCAGAAGCTCTGGGCCTTGGTCCCAACTTGGCCACTTAACCTGCATTGTGATCTTGAGCAAGTCATTTCACCCTTTGAACCTCTGTTTACTCACCTTGAGAAAGGCACCAAGGTAGGGATAACAACCCAGCTCATGGGATTATTGTGAGTCCTCCATGAGATAATCCTCAAAGGGCTTAGCATTACTACCCGGCATGCAAAAATGTGCCATATATGTTAGTATATACGAGTTGATATCTTAGATGTGAGGAAACTGAGCTCAGGGAGAGGTTAAGTGACTTGCCCAAGGTCATATAGCTGGTACTTGGCAAAGCTGCGACTTAGACTGTCTTCCTCCAGGGCTTTTAGCATCTGTAAAATGAGGGCTGGAGCCTCAGTTTTCAGAGGTGAAAGGCTTGGGGTCCCAGGAGGCTGTAACTGGCCCAGGTGGCTCACACAGCCTGCCAGCAGGGACTTAAAGCAGGTGGTCTGCCCTGGGCTCCACCTCTACTCTGCTGGCCTCGAAGGTGTAGCTGGATTCAGCAGGACTTGCAGAGCTCCTTAAATTGGAAGGTGCCCTGGAAGTGCAGCGGGGACCATGTGTACACACGGGATGGTCACTGCTGCCCCATGGCTGGTCATGTATGATGTCGAGTGGCGCAGCTGAAGTCCCTTTGCTGAGGGAGGCAACAGTGAACAGAAGAAGTTAAGCATGTAGGTTTCGGTGACAGACGTGCTAGCTGTGCTGGCCTCAGCCAATGACTTCAGCTGTCTTCGGCTCAGTTTCTTCATCTGTAAAGTGGGAATCATGATGGAACCCACCTGCCTGAGCCGCAAGTTGCTGTATTACACGTGATGACATACAGACTTAGCACAGCCGCGGTCAGTCTGTGCTTCTCCCACTCTTCGTACAGCTCCTTGCCGCCTTGCTGCTCAGCAGATTTCTTTGGTTTATTCCTGTTGTTCCTTGGAGATTCTTGGTGTGATGAGAACCCCAGCCCGGGGTGGCTGGCAGCCCCCAGCTGTGTGGAACCCGACAGGCAGGGGGACGAGCAGGATCTGATTGAATGCTTTCACCTAGGAAACTGGAGGCGACCAGTGCCCAGAATATCGAGTTCCTACAGGTGATTGCCAAGAGGGAGGAGGCAATCCACCAGTCCCAGCTGCGACTAGAAGAGAAAACCCGGGAATGTGGGACCCTGGCGAGGCAGTTGGAGAGCGCCATTGAAGATGCCAGGAGGCAGGTCAGTCTCAATTCTATTACTAACCTATCTCTGTGTCTTTGGACAAATCGCCTAACCCCTCTGAGCCTATCTCTCCATCTGAGAAATGGGCACATAGAAGTAGTACCTGCCTCATGAAATCATCATAAGGATCAAGTGAGCAATTATCGTAAAGGACTTGGCACTTTATTCACAACCGCTCCTTTGATTGCTGCCTGAGTGGGCATCAGACAGGTGTACCACGTCTTAGGTGATGACTCATGGAGCGTTGGCAAAGGGCAGGTAAAGCGGGGTTGCAGAAGTTGTCCCCATAGTTTGCTCCTGCCCTGAGGCTCCAGAGAATTGTCCGCAGCGAGACCAGTTAGTGGGAGCGGCCCAGCCTTCTCTTTACCAGGTGTTCCCCATGCCAGGTAAGCCAGCCCCACCTCTGTGCGTTTCTGGCAGGTGGAACAAACCAAGGAGCACGCAGCCTCCAAGGAGCGAGCAGCCCAGAACAAAATCCTGGACCTTGAGGCCCAGCTGAGCAGGACCAAGACTGAACTCAGCCAGCTCCGGCGGAGCCGGGATGATGTGAGTCGGGCTGGGGGTGGGAGGACGGGGTAGGAGCAGACAAGAAGGGAGTGGGTTGAGATCTGAGCTTCCTGGCGCCTGCAGGGCAAGATGTTCTGTTGTTTTTATGAATATGACATGGTTTTATTTTTCTCGCATCACTTTCCCGTCCCTTCAGGATATCCCAGGCCAACCCCCTTTTTTATTAACAGTTTTGTTAAGACAGCATTTACCGTAAAATTCCCGTATTCAAATTGCACAATTCAGTGGTTCTGAGTATATTCAGTGTTGTGCCATTATCACCACAATCCAGGTTTAGAATATTTTCAGAAAGAAAATTACCTGTTAGCAGCCACTCCCATTCCCCTGCCCCAACCCCTGGCAACCACTAATAAAGTCTCTGTCGCTATGGATTTGTCTGTTCTGGATGTCACACACACTTGGCCCCGCCCCCGTTCCTCCTCTTAGGCTGACCGCCGCTACCAGAGCCGCCTGCAAGACCTGAAAGACCGCCTGGAGCAGTCGGAGAGCACCAACCGCAGCATGCAGAACTACGTCCAGTTCCTGAAGTCGTCCTATGCCAACGTGTTTGGGGATGGTCCCTACACTTCCTACCTAACGAGCTCTCCCATCCGCTCCCGGTCTCCTCCTGCCTAAGGCAGCCACTCTTGGGCTAGGAGCTCGGATGGATGCCGTGGGAACTGAGGCTTTGCTAAGCCATACCCAGAAAGCCTGTTGGTTTTCCTCTCTCGTCCTGTGATGAAGTATGTTCAGGGTCTTGTCTTAGCTACTAGCTCCAGAAAAGTGCCTGAAGCAGCAGGGGATGAAGCAGAACCCACTTCGTTCTCTCCTCTCTGACAGCATCGCCTGACGGAAGTTTTTAATTACCCTGACAGGCCTTAAAGTTACTACTATTAGGGTCAGATTGTAACTCACCGTGACTTTGCTCATTCCTTTCCCAAGAGAATGTTTGGACTGGACTTGCCCTCCAGTTCCCTTACAGCTCTCTTCTTTTTAGGACTGTCTCTTGGGTTTTCCCTGACCTGAACCAGCAGGAGCTGTTCGCCAGAGGTCCTCACTGCTCCTCATGTTCACTTGCTGTTTCCCTTATTTCACGGGTATGGTGTTTTCCCCAAGGTGCTCCCCTCCCAAGCCCAGTGGAAACCTCTCATGGCCAAGTTTCCTCAAGGCCACTTGCCCTCACGCACTTGCCAATAGACACTCGAGGGCTTATGTCCAGTTCGCCTTGTAAAAGTACAATCCCAATCTCATTGATTTTTCTCTTTGCCAGGTTTGTATCTGTGGAATGCATTTATTCTTGAAACATGTATGTTGTTTTACAAAAAGCTTTTATAATCAGTATTTAAGTCTCCATCGGATGATTTCCTTTACCCGCCCCAGCCCTCTTCTAAAAATGATTCAGTAAAATGCTGCAGGAGAGCCAGTAAACGTTTTTAAAGGACTTGGTGTGTGAGACTCCTCATTTCATTTTGGCCAGGCTGGCTCTTTCTCCTTTGCGTGCTTTCACTTACAATCCCATGAAAGGCCTGGAGAAGACACACTGAAGGGCACTGCTCAGTGTGTGAGGGCAGCCTACTTTAGCTGTTAGGAGGAAGATGGGATGTGTATGTATTACTATTTTTTTAATGTTAATTGTTTTCTGAATGATAAGGTTATGGGCTATTTTTGTTCTCTTCACATTTTCCTGTATTTAAAAGAAAAAAAAATTCTTCAGAGAGAAGAGAACAAATTTGGTGTACTATGCTGGTACTGACCTCTGGGAGATCCAGTCTGGTCCTCTCTCAGCCACTCTAACCCAAGTCCAGGAGTTCCCCTATGTCCTCAAAAGCAATGGCTCCCACCCAGCCATCTGGATTCCACTACCAGAACCGCCCCACCCCCCCCCCCCCCCCCGTTTTGGAGACATGCGTAGTTTCCAGCTTTTAATGTTTTGGGTTTTTTTGTTTGTTTGTTTTTAATTTTATTTCCAGCTTTTAATTTTGCCAAGGAAGGTCACTGAAATGACTACTACCGGCTACCACTGCCACAAAACCAAGCCTATTTTCACACCCTTAACACAAATGGACTTGAACTTTCATACAATGTATGAAAGCTCTTCCTAAGAAAAAACAGTTGGCAAACTTACACCGATGTGCATTCATTTCTGTATAGTTTGTCATTTCATTAGTTTGCCAAACTAATGAAAACCTCCTCAGTGCAGGGTTCTGCTATTTGTAACGATGGTGCGGGAAGCACCTCTTTTCCGGTCCATTGCTACAAGGAGCGTTCTATTTTTCTTCGTAAAATGTTGTATTCCAAAAAGTCCAGAGAGTTTGTGGGAAATGTTTATATTGCTTCAAACTCGAGAGTTTTCCTTTCTGCCTCAGACTGAGATCCCATGAAATGGGCAAAAGGGTCAAAAGTTAAAGGGTCCTAGTTAAAGCTGGCCTCAGGCAATGGTGAACATTTCATTTACTGAGAGATAATTCACATAAAATTCACTCTTTTAAAGTGTATAATTCAGTGGCTTTTAGTATATTCAAAGTTGTGCGACCACCACCTTTAGCTAATTCTCAAACATTGTCATCACACCCCAGTGGAACCCATACCATTAGCAGCTGCTCCCCATTCCCCTCCCCCCAGCCCCTGGCAACCACTAATAGTCTGTTTCTCTGGCTTTGTCACTCTGGACATTTCACATAAATCATACCATATTGTGACTGGCTTCTTTCACTCAGCACGATGTTTTCAAGGTTCATGTCGTAGCGTGTATTTGTACTTCATTTTTATGGCCCAATAATATCACATTTTGTGGATACACCATATTTTATTGACTCATTGGTTGACGAACACACGTGTTTCCATTTTTTGGCTGTTACAAGTAATTCAATATTCTACCAGTTTTGTGTGGACACATTTCTTTTGCGTATATATTTAGTAGAACTGCTGGGTTAATGGTAACTTTTTTGGCCGCAGGCAGGCGGGATCTTAATTCCCCGACCAGGTATGGAACCCGCGGCCCCTGCAGTGGAAGCGCACGAGTCTTAACCACTGCCAGGGAAGTCCCTCTTTAACCTTTTGATGAACTGCCAGACTGTCTTCCACAGGAGTTGACCCATTTTAGAGTCCCACTGGCAGCGTATGTATGAGGGTTCCAATTTCTCCACATGCTCATCAATACCTGTTCAGTTTTCTGCAACCCGGAAGGCCCAGCCTTCTGAAGCCCCCAGGTCGTAGCTCCCTGCAGGGGAGCGAGCCTCGGGCCAAGCCCTGTGCGCAGGCGCGTTGGTGGGCGGGCTCAGTGCCGGAGGTGGGGCCATGCAGCCGTTAGGGGCGGGATTGAACTGCGTCGCTACGTGTGCGCCCCGGAAGCGGAAGCGAGCACCTGTTTCCGGTCGGCTGATTCGAGGACTCGTTTTGTCTCAAGCGGCGCCCCTGGAGACCTGTAGCGGGGCAGGCCATGCCTTCCGAGGGTCGCTGCTGGGAGACCCTGCAGGCGCTGCGCAGGTCTGAGAAAGGTCGCATTTGCTACCACCGCGATTGGCTGTTGCGGGGCGAGGTGAGCAGTGGCCCCAAAGGGGGCGGTGGTCCTTCCTGCCCCTCGTCACGGGACTCTGCTCTTCCCTAGCCCTTGGCATGTCCTGCGCCAGGGAACCGGTGCGTTCTTGTAACAGCCCGGGTTTGCTGCTTGACTCCCGTGTGTGCACCACCGTCTCTCGCCTATTCTAGCCTTCCGTGGAGCTCCCCTTCAGACGTGCTCCCTTCAGACGTGCTCTTTGAAGGCTTCATTGCTCCCCGCAGCTGGCGTTAGGTGCCTGCGCCTATGTTGTCAAAGCAATCCTGGCCTCTCAGGGTCAGTTAGTTTACTGCGCGTCTCTTGTGTTAGGAGATCCAGATTTAGTGGTGAACGGTTAACAGGACCTAACTTATTGCTGCCAGTGAAATGACCAAACTTTTAGACGACGGAAGTTGGACGAACCTGGGAACTTTAATGGGGGCGTGGTCACTGCATCTAAGATTCGCAAAGCCCTGTACTAGACCGCGCAGGTGGGGGAATATAGAGACGGTTAAGGCATAACTCCTCTTCCCGAGTTGCTGGTAATCTAGCTACAGGTATGATGTCTTGTCTCTTCAGACTTAAATGTGAAACACTTCTAAAGCATTTCTGTCTTCATGTCTTTGACGGTTTTAAAGAATACATATGTTACATTCTATAGGATGAATTCCAGCCTGAATCTGTATGGTGTAGACTCAGATTATGCATTCTTAGCAGGACTACCACAGAAATGATGCTGTGTCCTCAGTAAGTCACATCAGTCACACATAGATGCTTCAGCCCATCCCAACACTGGTGATGCTCACATTGATCACTTGGTTACAATGGTAACTTCCAGATATTTCCACGTAAAATTCACTTAAAGTTCATCATTTTCCCTTTTGTAACTTCTTAGTATTTTGTTGGGAGGTAGTCCAAGGTTACACCAAAATATTTTTTTCTTATCAAACCTCCACCGTTAGCATTTATTGGTGATTTCTTCCTGAATCAGTCTTTTCTGTGATGTAGACGAATGGTGTTTCTTCATAGCTACCATTCCTACGTTTGTCAGCTGGCGTTCTACTGTAAGGAAGAGCTTTCTTTTCTCTTCCGTTTAATTATTCATATCAGAATCCTCATGGGTTCCTTCTGTTTAATTGTTTATATCAGTATCCTCATGGGTTCCTATTTTATTCAATGAGTTGTGATCCACTACTTGTAACCTTGTGTGTGTATATTTGCCAGTTTATGTCTTTTGCTCATTTTTCTATTGGGGTTTTGCTAATATTTTATAAGTTCTTTATGTATTAAGGATAATAATATTCCTTTATCTGTGATATATATTGCATCTTTTTTTCTAGTTTGTCAGTTGAAATTATTTTCTCCGTTGATGGTGTTTTTTATGGGTTTATTTTTTACATTTGAAACTTTGCTCCTGGAATTTATTTTGGCGTAAAGAAAGAGTAAAAAGTTGTCTCAAATTCAACATCCTTTCATGATAAAAACTCTTTCCAAAGTGAGTAGAGAGGGAACATATCTCAACATAATAAAAGCTACTTTTATTATGGGACAAATAAAGCTACTTTTATTGTGGGACAGACCCACAGTCAACACAATACTCAGTGGTGGTGAAAAGCTGAAAGCCTTCCTGCTAAAATCTGGAGCAAGACAAGGATGCCCCCTCTCACCACTCCTAATCTAATATAGAATTGGAAGTCCTAGCCACAGCAGTCAGACAAGGGAAATAAATAGAAAGGTATCCAAATCAGAGGGAAGGGGTAAAATTGTTATTATATGCAGATTACATGGTACTATCTATAGAAAACCCTAAAGACTCCACAGAAAAACTACTAGAACTGATAAATAAATTTAGCAAGGTAGCAGGATATGAGATTAACATACAGAAATCTGTTGCATTTCTTTACACTAACAATGAAATATCAGAAAGGGAAAGTTTAAAAAAAAAAACCCTTTTAAAGTCACATCCCCCCCCCCAAAAAAAGAAACCTTAGAAATAAACCTGACCAAGGAGGTAAAAGACTTATATTCTGAGAACTGTAAAACACTGATAAAGGAAAGGAAATTGAAGATGATTCAAAGAAATGGAAAGATATCCCATGCTCTTGGATTGGAAAAATTAATATTATTAAAATAGCCATACTACCCAAAGCAATCTACAGGTTTATTGCAATCCCTATCAAATTACCCATGACATTTTTCACAGAACTAGAACAAGTAATCCTAAAATTTATATACAAGCACAAAAGACCCAGAATTGCCAAAGTAATCCTAAGGAAAAAGAACAAAACTGAAGGGATAACCCTCCCAGACTTTAGACAATACAACAAAGCTACAGTAATTAAAACAGCATGGTATTGGGACAAAAACAGACATATGGATCAATGAAACAGAATAGAGGGACCATAAATAAACCCACACACCTACAGTCAATTAATCTTCAACAAAGCAGGCAAGAATATACAATGAAGAAAGGACAGTCTCTTCAGAAGGGTGTTGGGAAAGTTGGACAACTGCACATGAATCAATGAAGTTAGAACATTTCCTCACAGCATACACAAAAATAAACTCAAAATGGCTTAAAGACTTAAATATAAGACATGACACCATAAAACTCCTAGAGGAAAACATAAGCAGAACATTCTCTGACATAAATCATAGCAGTGTTTTCTTAGTCTTCCAAGGCAATAGAAATAAAGCAAAAATAAACAAATGGGACCTAATCAAACTTACAAACTTTTGCACAGCAAAGGAAACCATAAACAAAATAAAGACAACCTACAGACTGGGAGAAAATATTTGTAAACGATGAAACCGACAAAGGCTTAATTTCCAAAATATACAAGCAGCTCGTACAACTCAATAACAAAAACAAACAACCCATTCCAAAAATGAGCAGAAGACATTTCTCGAAAGAAGACATACAGATGACCAATAGGCACATGAAAAGATGCTCAACATCGCTAATTATCAGAGAAATGCAAATCAGAACTACACTGAGGTACCACCTCATGCTGGTCAGAATGGCCATCATTAAAAAGTCTACAAATAATAAATGCTGCAGAGGATGTGGAGAAAAGGGAAGCCTCATACACTGCACCCCAGTGTATGAGGCTTCCCTTTTGAAAAGATATATGCA